TGACAGTTCCCCCTAAAACCCGTTCGCTGTGAGCCGTCACTGTTAACTGCCCAATCTCCATGGGGACGGTCCGTCCCTCGATCGAGGTGTCGTTGATCGGTCTGTTGTATCCCCTATCGCGATTGTCACGACCTCGTCGGCTTCGTACTGCGTTGACGCGTTCTGCAGCTGCGATAACTGACTCGAAGGTGGACAACCGTGAATCGCTATAATTTCCGCTATGTCCGGCTTCAACCCTTCGAAGTAGCTATCGCGCATCTCTGCTTCCGTGATGTCATCTATTTCGTTGTAGATGCTCAAGAAACGTCGTGTGTACTCCTGGACGTTTCCTATGTGTCGGAAATGACGCAGACGCTTCCTAGCAGCTTCGGAGGGCGTTCACCAAATCGAACCTACTTTTTCAGCGCCGCTTCAAATCCTTCCCATGTGGTCGGAACCGTGGTAACACCCAAAGCTAAACTCCCTAAGCTCGAAGTTACAGGTGCATGCCCCTCGACCTGTTGATGCCCATCCGTCTGAGCCCTTCTTACAGCAGTTTGCGGTGAGTTGGCCACCGCCACTCCAAGGCCCGGGCCCGTCAGCAGCGTAACGGAGTACTCGATCCGCTGCTGCGCATCCGCCTCTTGCACTCCGCTCGCGGCGAAGTAGTTGTTGAGCATGAAAATCCACGTCCGCACGTTCGCGTCGTGGTTGTCTTGGGTCGAACGGGCTCTGGCTTCTGCGGCTTGAGCGCGCTTCGACGTTCCGGCAGCGCTTCCGCGCCAGTCGACGTGTTGGGTGCTAGAGATGGTGCGGCATGACCATGAGGAGATTGACGCGAATTCACGAAGCTGTTGCATTTCAACCCGTACCTGACGATTTTCCAACACCAACTGTTCGAGTTGGCGCATGAGTTGAGCACGCGTGTTGCCCATGTCGTTGGGGAGAGCGTTCATGGTCTCGTCCATGTTGGCTCGACTACTCCAAGTCTGCTAGTCGGCACCGCGGGACGATGACGTCGTAGTCTCGTTGTAGACGGTCGCTCGTTGGAAGTCGCTCCCCGCGAAGGCTCTGATACCAAGTGTTAGGCCCCTTGGCCTAAATCCGCTAAAGAATATCGGGGTTGACTAAATTGAGGATAAAGCGCGGCGGAAGACTTTGGCGAAATATGTGAGTAATTGATAAATGAGAATTGGTTGATATTGGTGGATACAAGCGAGGATGATATAGCATGCAAGGTCGAATGTCGTAAAGTACTTCGTGGTACTAGAAAGTAGAAGCAAGAAAGGTAGAGTGCCACGTGGCACTAGGAAATCTGAAAGATAAGGATAAGGATGGGGTTGAGAGTACTGTTCAAATGGAACAGTAAACACCCCTCTAAAAGCTGTGTGTGAATTAGTTAGTGTAGGCGATGGGGTAGCTGCTGTTGGCACTGGATAGCGCACTTCGATGTGCTGCTGCCAGAAGCTGACGAACTTCATTATATGTCCTACTTTCATATCACCTTTTTAATGCTAATTTTGTAGGTGCAATGTTTTGTTTGTTGATTGGCACAGTATACGGTACAAGCAAATCAACATGCATTGTGTGACTGCGCGAAGAAAGAAGTCATTTTCGCAAACTGAGACAATCCCGTGGGCCTGCAATGACAATGGATGAACAGCCTCCACGCACATAACACACCAAAAACGATCCCGTAGGACCGCGGCGAGTTCAACGAGTCGCCAAAGCCGAAAGCAACTCCATCGTAGCCCCGTCGCAACTCTGACATGAGCTAATTTCTAAACACGCCATTAAATAGATGCCGCATCATTCTCCCTTTTTTTTTTCTGTCCACCTCATCACTCGGCCTCGCCACTAACCAGTAACCAGTAACCCAATAACCACGCTCGCATCCTCCCCTAACTCCTGGTCTCGCGTCGTCGGCACTCGGCCGCGGCGCGACAGAACAGTAGGTCTTCTGTCCTCGATTGCACGCCTCGCTTCCTCGTCCCACCCCGCCGTCCGTTGCGATTATTCTCCACTTTGCGTCCCTCTCGCCCCCTCTCGATTAAGTTCCCCCCCCTTCCTCGCCTTTTACGCGCCCCGTCCTTCCCGCCTTCCTCTCCCTCCCCATTTTTTTCTCCCTTTCCCCTTCATCTCCCCCCATCCTCTCCCTCCCCCTTTCCTCTCCCTCCCCATTTCCTCTTCCTTCACCCTCCCTTCCTCCCTCCCTCCCTCCTCCCTGTCTCCCTCCCCCACTCCCTCCCTCCCTCTCCCCCTCCCTCCCTCCCTCCCTCCCTCCCTCCCTCCCTCCCTCCCTCCCTCCCTCCCTCCCTCCCTCCCTCCCTCCCTCCCTCCCACCCTCCCTCTTTCCCCCACTCCCTCCCTCCCTCCTTCCCTGTCTCCCCCTTCCCTTTCTCCCCGTCTCCTCTTACCTCTGTACCTCCACCGCACCACACACCACCGTGTCGTTCTCAGAACTTATCCTGTTCCCTGCTCGTTTTCCCTGTATTTCCCCTTGTTTGTTACAGGCGCGCATTGCTGCTGTGCGCCCGTATCAATGGCTTCTAAGAGCAACGCTTCAATGTGAGCGGGTGGTGTTTTAAGTCTTCACAGGTCTCAAAGCTGAAATACTTATCCTCGCTCTCTTTCACTGCTCCTCTGTCACCCTCCCACTCCCTCTCTTTCCCTGCTTTGTAGAAATGTGCTTTTATCAACGAAAGAAAGAAATCAGTGCATAGAGCCCCGCTCGTGTGCCTGAACGCGTTTCATGCGTCTGGTTGGATGGTTGCATTGCATTGCATGAACAAAGCTCTCACAGTGCTCTCTGTGCTCATCTCTCTTCTTCTCCAACCCCACCTTCGCCCTTCCCGTTCTCCACCATCAGTGCCTCCTCCTCCCAGCACCGCCCGCCAACCGGCATCGAAGTGCTCTTTGCACTCCGGCCCCCCTCTGCTGCTGCTCCCTCCTCTGCCGCCCCCTCCTCGGATTCTCCGTCCTCTGCTGCTGCTCCTTGCTCGGCGGTTCCTTCCCCTGACGCTGCTCCCTCCACTGCCGTTGACAAGGGCTCGTTACAAGCACCTTCAGCTACACCCTCCGCTCTCCCTGCTAAGACCTCGATACAAGCACCGTCTGGTGCTCCCTCCTCTGTTCCCACTAAGCCCTCGTTACAGGCACCCTCCACTGCACCTTCCACAGCCACCCTCACAACTGCCCCCCCTGCTGCAGCCTCCACAGCCCCTCTCAAGAGCGTGTGCAAAGAACCCTCCGCTCCTCCCCCCCCCCCCTCCCCTCTTGAAACGCCCGGTAAGGGACCCATTATCTACTACCACCACCACATCCTCTGGCAAGACTGGTTGCTCCTCCGCCGCTGCTGTCACAGCCCCTCACAAGAGCGCAGCGGCAGCAGCCCCCTCTCCTGCCCCCACTGCGCAATGCAAGACCTCGTTACAAGAACCCTTTGCTGCTGCTCCCTCCGCTGCCCCTGCTAAGAGTGCATCAGGCACCCCACTTGGTCTTTCCACTGCTGCTCCGAAGTCCTTGTTTGGGAAAGCCCCTGCTGCTCCCGCCCAGGCCCCAATAAAGCATTCATTAAAAGCACACCTAGCTGCTCCCGCCACTGCTTCTGCAAAGTATGCTTCAGAAGGCTGGAGGTCGGGAGCGGGCAATGCAGGTGTGGGGAGGGGTGGTGGTGGGAGGGAGGCGGAGGAAGGTCCGTGGAGAGAGGGCGGCAGACTTGGAAAGGGCGCAGAAAGAGAAGGGAGTGGTGGGCACGTGAAGAGCGGTGGGCTTGTGAGGAATGCTGGGGTTGTGAGGAGTGGGAGCAAGGAAGGTAGAGGGTATGGGAATTGTGTGAAGGCTGATGGCAGGGTAGGGGCAGGGAGAGGTGGAGTGGACGGTGCAGATGTAGGGAGGGGTGGAGTGAACGGTGCAGATGTAGGGAGTGCAGGAAAGGTAGACCGGGGAGTGGCGAGAGCTGATGGTGAGGGGGTAAGAGTGGGGGGTGAGTGGAGAGAGGGGGGCCAGCAGGTGAAGAGTGTGTGGGGCGTGGGGAAGGGGAAGGAATCAAAGGCTGGTGGCAAGACAGGTGCTGGGTCAGTTGCAGGGAGTGTGGGGAAGCAAGGCACTGGAGTGGGAATCGGTGGTGGTAATGGTGGCAACGGGGGTCGATTGGAGGGGAAGAGACAACAAGAGGGTGCTTGGCTGGCGAAGGGTGCTGGTGGGGCTTCAGGAAAGGTGAAGGGTGTGGGCCCGCCTGCGCATGCTGTGAGAGTTGGAGGTGTAAGAAAGGAAAATGTGGGGACAAGTGCAGTTCTCAGGGGGATGGGCGGTGGTGGTGGCGAGCAGAGAAGAGAAGGAGATGCGGTTACAGGAAGCAAAGGGGCACCAGTCACAGGAAAGGTGTTGGGAGGGAAGGGGGTTGGAGTGAGGGAACACGGAGTGAGGGAACACGGAGGGGCGAAGATGGCACCAACAACCATAGGCTTCAAACTGGGAGGCAGAAAATTGGGAGGGAGCAAGATGGGAGGGAGCAAAGAAGGGATGAGGATAGGAGCAGCAAGGGAGATTGGTGCAAAGAGAATTTGTGAAAGCAAGGTGGGAGAAAAGAAGGGTTACTCGAGACTGGTTAAAGTTGGAGCGTTGAGGGCAAGAGCATTGGAGGGAAAGCGTGAGAAGGGGAGAGATGCGGAGAGGGACAGATGGAGGGATGACTGGAGTGAGAAGAGGAGAGAGGATGGGAGTGAGGAGAGGAGAGAGGATGAGAGTGAGAATAGGAGGGAAGATGAGAGTGCAAAGAGTTTAGATGATGAGAGCGAAAAGTGGAGAGGGAATGAGAGTGGGAAGAGGATAGATGACGAGAGTGAAAAGAGGAGAGAGAATATGAGTGAGAAGAGGAGAGAGAATAAGAGTGAGAAGAGGAGAGAGGATGAGAGTGAGAAGAGGAGAGAGGATAAGAGTGAGAAGAGGAGAGATTATGAGAGTGAAAAGACAAGAGAGGATGAGAGTGAGAAGGGGAGAGAGGATGAGAGTGAGAAGGGGAGAGAGAATAAGAGTGAGAAGAGGAGAGAGGATGAGAGTGAGAAGTGGAAAGAGGATGAGAGTGAGAAAAGGAGAGAGGATGGGAGTGAGAAAAGGAGAGAGGATGAGAGTGGGAAAAGGAGGGAGGATGAGAGCAAGGAAGTGAGGGATGGCAGGAAAGGGGAAGAGTGGGATGCTGATACTGAGGCCAGCAGGGATGCGGAGAGGGAAGGTGGTTTTGATGCTGGGCAGCGTTTGTTGGGAACGAATTGGGGTACTGGAGAGGAGGGATGGGGGATAGATGAGGGGGACTGGAATGAGGAGGAGGAGGGGAAAGAGGAGGACAAGCAGGAGAAGGGGGAGGATCAAGAAGAGGAGGAGGAGGAGGAAGAGGAAGAGGAGGAAAAGGCTGAGAAGCAGGGGCAAGGAGAGAAAGCGAAGGAAGAGGAGGGCAGGGAGCAGGGAAGAAGGGAAGGGAGTTCGGAGGTAGAAGTCGGAAGTGAGATGTGTGATGGAGTCAGTGGGGGCTTTGGAGAAGCTAGGCGGATATTCAGTGGTGTTGAGGATGAGGGTGACCATGCTGTGAGCCTGAGAGTTAGTGCAGCTGATCACAGTGCCGCTACCCTCGCTCCTCCTCCTCTCCCTGCTGAAGTGCCAATGGTGAGAGCGGATGATGCAAGAGAAGGGGACAATGTTGAGGCTGTGGGATTGACAGCTGAAGATAGTGATTCAGGAGTGTGGATGATGCTTGATGAAGTGAGGGAGGGAGTTTCTAGGAAGGACGAGGAGGGAGGGGGGAAGGAAGAGAAGAAGGGAGGGATAGAGGAACAGGCAAAGGGAGAAGTAGAGAAAGGGGAGGAGATACGGGAAGAGGAAGTGGAGAAGGCGAGGGGAGAAGCAGAGGAGGAGAGAAGGGAAGAGCAAGAGGAGAGGAGAAGGGAAGAGCAAGAGGGTAGGAGAAGGGGAGAGCAAGCGGAGAGGAGAAGGGCAGAGCAAGAGGAGAGGAGAAGGGAAGAGCAGGAGGAGAGGACAAGGGAAGAGCAAGAGGAGAGAAGGAAAGAGCTAGAGGAGAGGAGAATGGAAGAGCAAGAGGAGAGGAGACGGGACGAGCAAGAAGAGAGGAGAAGGGAAGAGGAGAAGAGAATGGAGGAGCAAGAGCAGGAGAGGAGGGAAAAGGAGAAGCGAAGGGAAGCGGAAGAGGAAGATGAGAAAAGAAGGGACGAGGGAGAGGATACACGAATAGAGGAGGTAGAGGAAAATGAGAAAAGGAGGAAGGAGGGAGAGGAGGAAGGAAGAAAAGAGGGAGAGGAGAAACGAAGGGAAAAGGAAGAGCAGCAAAGGTGGGGAGAGGGAGAGGAGAGCAGCGATGAGGAGGAGGAGGAGCAGCGATGGCAGCCCCTGGCGAATGGGCAAAAGGCAGAGCCAAGCAGTGTTGGAGGCGGGGCTGTGGTGCAACACACCCAGGTAACCACCGAATTCATTTCCTTTCAATGAGCGTGCTCACACTCATTGAATGAGTGCTTGAATAGGTGCGAACACGCAGGTAAGCAATACGTCTCTCAATCTTGTGGCTATCGGGTGTGGCGAGCCTTGGCGAGGTGAACGGTGAACATCTCTTCAATATACCTCCTTTCGGGAAATCTTGCCCTCTCATTATACTTTGTACCCACCTTGCCTCTTCTGCTTGTTTCTTCAATCTCATGATCATGGGGTCACCACTCAAGACGCTTTTTCCCCATGCCTTGTTGATGTGCTGGGCAGGAGATCGGCGGCAGCTTTCGACCTGTCAGGAGGCAAGTGCTGCGCTGTGCCATGCAACAGGATTACGTGCAGGATGGCATGCAGGATGGCAGGCATGATGGCATGCAGATACAGTATGACATGGATGAGGAGGATGCTGCGTGGCTGACGGCCTACAACAGCAGACTCACCCATGCCTATGCCCATGCGCATGCGCATGAGCGTACAAGAGCTGGGAAAGAGCAGTCAGGGAGTGGGAGTGATGAGGCGTGTGCGAAGCTAAGTCTGTCAGAGGAGGCGTTTGAGGCGTGCATGGCCTCTCTGGACTTGCACCCTTCTGCCGCTGGTCACTATGCTGCTCCTTCTGCCGCTGCTGCTGCTGCTGCTGCTGATGGTGATGGTGCTGCTGCGGCTGCGGCTGCTGCTGTTGCTGTTGCTGTTGATGATGATGACGATGATGGTGTTTCTGGTGATGTGGATGCTGCCTGTGCACGTGCTGCTGGGGGGGTGGTCCACGCTGATGGTTCTGATCTCGATAACATGCCAGGAGGCTTGAGCGCAGCAAGGAAGGAGGGCGGGGTAGGAGCGCCACAGGGGCCAAAGACCAAGCGGCATGATGCCGAGGCACTGCGATGCGATGTGTGCTTCCAGCCGGGGGAGACGCCCTACAACCCTGTGAGTGGCGCACCATGCATGCATGCATGCACCATGCTTATTGCCTGACTCAGAAGCCATCATGTGAGCAAGTGTCACGGGGGGCAGTGAGCCATGATGCGGAGGTGGCATTGCGATGCGACGTGTGCTTCCAACCGGGGGAGACGCCCTACAACCCTGTGAGTGCCGCACCATGCATGCATGCCTGTGAGTGCCGCGCCATCCATGCATGCATGCATGCATACAGGCATGCTCATTTTGCCATGCAGAGGCGTGTGGCAGCCACAAGTCCCCGCAGTCACCAGCATGCAACATGCTTCTCTCTTACACCTGACCCTCTCCCCCCGTTCACCCTCTCCCCGATCATTCGCCCTCTCTCCCCCCCCCCCCCCCCAATCAGTTCCTCTGCTGCTCCCTCTGCGCCACAGCCGTCCACCAGCTCTGCTACGGCGCCGTGGGCCTTCCCCCCTTCTTGGCTGCTGTTTGAGTCATTTTTCACCTATTTTCCGGCCAATCCGCCCCCTCACCGCAATCCACCTCTCTCCACCCATCCACCCTCTCCCTCTCTCCCCCCCCACCCATCAGTTCCTCTGCTGCTCCCTCTGCGCCACAGCTGTCCACCAACTCTGCTACGGTGCTGTGGGCCTCCCCCCCCTCTGGGCTGCGCGCTCCCTCCTCCCCCCCTCCCTGCACGCCCCCCCCCTGCCGCCCCTGCTCCCACTGGCCAGCGACGGGAAGGCAGAGGGAGAAGGGCCGGGCAGGGAGACAGTCCAGAGCGGGCATGGTGGTGATGGCGGTGCTGCTGGTGCCACTGCTGGTGATGGCGGTGCTGCTGGACAGGGCGTGCAGCTGAGCAAGCAGGCAGCAGCGAGGCGGTTCAAGTGGCGCTGTGTGCCGTGCCATCTCTACGCCCGAGCATGCAGCAGCGGCGGCGGCGCTGCTGCTGCAAACACCTGCTCCCAGCCGCCTCCCCTCACGTGAGTACCAGGTGGTTCAAGTCAAGTGGCGCTCTGTGTGTACAGTGTGCCGTGCCATCTGTACGCCAGAGCATGCAGCAGCGGTGGCGCTGCTAGCAGCACCTGCTCCCAGCTGCCTCCCCTCACGTGAGTATGCGTGCATGCAGGGGGGTCCCCTTACTAAGTGGTTCAAGTCAAGTGGCGCTGTGTGCCGTGCCATCTCTACGCCAGAGCATGCAGCAGTGGCGGCGGCGCTGCTGCTGCCAATACCTACTCACAGCCGCCTCCCTTGACGTGAGTATGTGAGGTGCACACCTCCTGACCACCTCATGCATGTGCTCCTGCCTCTGCTGCCGAGCCCCTCTCACTCTTATCATTTTCATTTCCGACATGCTTTCACCCCCCTCTCGAGATGCCTCCACGGCTTTCAACCTTTGAAGCTGCACCGTTGCATATGTTTCCTGTCTGCTGGTCCTGAACACTACAGAACAACCCGTCACCCCGCATCCCCTGCTTTCGAGGCACCTCAAAATAGGTGTCTGTTTGCTACCAGTCCTTGCCCCACAACCATCAACCCGTCGCCCCCCACCCACCCCCCTCCGCAGCTGTGCATTATGCCGAACCACAGGAGGAGGGGCGTTCAAGCCGTGCGTGGACGGGCCACTGCCAGCCGATGCCGAGAGGCAGGTGGAGGGAGGAGAGCGTGGGGAACGTGGGGAATGTGTGGGGAGGGCAGAGGAGCAATTGACGGGGGAGGAGGGGCGTTTCGTAAAATCAGAGGGGCGTGTGGGAGGAGCAGGGACCAGAGGGGAAGCTGGTGGGGAGCCAGGTGGTGAGAGGAAGGAAAATCGGGCCCTGATGATGAGGAAGCGAGCAGAAAGCAGGCAGCGGAGGAGGAGGAGAGAGGGGCAAGAGCAGCAGCAGGGGCGAATCTCGAGGAAGGATGCAGGACGAGAGGGGAAGGGGAGTGAAAGGAGGGGTGCTGAATCTGTCCGAGATGGTGGCAAAGCTGGGGGAAAACGGCAGAGGGAGCGAGAGGGTGGAAATGGGAGAGAGGGAGAGGGTAGAGGAGGAGAGGTTAATGGGAAGGGCAGGCAGGGTGGAGGGAGAAGTGAGAAGCAAGGAGGGAGCGACAAAGAGCAGCGTGGGATCGGTGGATTTGGCTCTAAGGGGGAAAAGAAGAGGAGAAGTGATGACTGCGTGGACCCAAGCAGTGACAGAAGTAGCAGCAGTAGCGGTGACAGCAGTAGTGGCAATGGGAGTGAGAGTGGAAGCAGTAGTGAGAGCGAGAGTGGTAGTGGCAGTGGGAGCAGCAGCAGCAGCAGTGGGTGCAGTGGGAGCAGCAGCGATGAGAGCAGCAAAAGCAACGGCCACGATGGCATGACACACAAGATCAGAAGGCGGGAAGGAGGAATGCAAGGGCAGGGTGAAAAGAGCAGAGTGGGGCAGGGGAAGGGCAGGCACAGGCACGAGTGGCAAGCAAGGGTTGGTTTGAAGAGAGACGGCAGCAGCTGCCAAGAAGTTGGCAGAGGAATGAAAGGAGACGGTGAGATGAAGGCAGTGGGTGCTGCTGGTCCTGTCACGCTGAAAGAGGGGCGCAGTGGGGTGAAGGAGGGAGTTGAGCACAGCGTGCTGCAGAGGGAGCGTGGCAGCGGTGGGAGGGATGTGGCAGGGGAAGTGAAGGGAACGTGCAGCGCAAGTGGTAGCAGTGGAGGTCGAGGGAAGGGTGATCCGGGCAGGGGTCATGATGACAAGGCCATGTGTCGACAAGTCCGGGACATGTGTGATGAGGGCAACGCGAGGCATCAAGGGGACATGGACATGCCTCTTGCATCAAGAGACGTACCACTTGTGTCGAAGCGCATGCCAGCTGCATCAAAAGACATGCCAGCAGCGTTGAGGCACCTGCGCTGGGTGCATGTTACATGCGCTCTCTTCGACTGCCATGTGTACTTCGGCAGTGCTGAGTCGCTCCAACCCATCATGTGAGTCGCTCCAACCCATCATGTGAGTCGCTCCAACCCATCATGTGAGTCGCTCCAACCCATCATGTGAGTCGCTCCAACCCATCATGTGAGTCGCTCCAACCCATCATGTGAGTCGCTCCAACCCATCATGTGAGTCGCTCCAACCCATCATGTGAGTCGCTCCAACCCATCATGTGAGTCCGTTTCTTCTCCTGTTGTTTCCTTTCCTTACTACCCAACTCTTGTCGGCCTCTGTTGATCTCTCCTTTTCCACTGTCCCAAACCTCTGTCTTCCCTTCTCCCTCTTTGCTCCCCCTTATCCTTCCCTCTGTCACTCCTCCTGTCTCTCTTCTTCCACGCACAGGGGTGTGGCAGCTGCTGCAAAGAAGAGGGCGGAGCGCAGGCAGCATTCACTAGCAGCACCAGCAGCAGCAGCAGCAGCAGCAGTGGAGTGCTGTACCTGGTGTCGTGAGCCCGACGGTCCTCTCGACCTGCTGCCCTGCGCCTACCCTCTCTGCCCCACCCGATTTCACGTTCGCTGCGGCCTGCTGCATGGCTGCTCCGCTATTGTAAGACTCGCTAAGACTCCCTCTTATTGCGGATCGGGTGGTTGTGCCGCGAACCTTGGCAGGCGAAAGAAAACTCTCTGGCTTTAAGTTGAAATAATTCTCGTGCTAACCAGAAGTACCAACCTATTTTCTCCGTCTCCTTTTCCTTCTATCTCTCCCCCCACTTCCCTTCCCCCTATCTCCTAGGTGCGAGAGACCGACCTGTACCAGCGCCAAGTGATGGCCTTGTGTGCCGCTCACGCTGCAGCTGTGCAGGGGGGTGAGGAGACAGCAGCCACTCCCTCAGGTGCTCATGCCACACATGGCACTGCCACACGTGGGGCTGCCATGCATGAGAACACTGCAGGGGTTGCTGACCATGTGGCAGCAGCGTCTTTAGATGAAGGCTTTGGTGGGGCTCAGGTGGAGAGGGAGCAGAGGCACGCATACGGAGAGACGGGTCACGTGGGGGCAGTGAAAGCGGCTGTTGATGAGGTGCCTCCAGGGTGGGAGTCTGGATTTTTGGGGGAGCATCTGGGGGCTGTGAGGGAGCATTGGAGGAGGCGACGAGAGGCAAATGGAGGCATGCCCTCGCTCCTTCACCTCGCGCATGTGAGTGGCGGCCCTATGCCATGCTCGTGAATGGATGCAATGTACCGTGCTTTCGTGAGTTGCCACCATTTTTTAGGCGCCTCCAAAATCATTCACCATCCGCCTCCCATGGCACGCAGGGGTCACCTCACCCGCCCTCCTTAATTATCCCTCTCCTCCTCCACTTCCTTCCCTCTTCATTTTCTTCCCTCCCCCTTTGCTTGCTTGCCCATCAGGCCCGAATGCAGCAGCTAGAGGCAGCTCAGCTCACACCATCGACTCCCCTCCATGAGAAGGTCTCTCCTTCCTCCAACCTCCCCAGTCCTTGTGATGCTGCTGCCGCCCCTGCTTCTGCCACCGCTGCTGCTGCCTCTGTTGCTGCCACTGCTGCTGCTACTGCCACCGTTGATGGTGATGGTGGTCGAGCTGGTCATGATGATGGTGGAGACGATGGGGCGAGTGCTGATGGCGCAAGAGACCCATGGGAGATGCAGCAGGTGCAGGAGACAGAGGAACACGATGAGCAGAAGAGGGAGAGTGGTGAGAGGAGAGCAGGAGTGGTCACAGCAGTGTGCGATGAGAGGAAAAGAAGGAATGGTGAGAGGAAGGGAGAGAGTGCTGGGATGAAGAAGCAGCATATTGCAGCGAAGGAGTGTGAAACCAAGCCCCTCGCACCACCTCCACCACCTCCACCTCCACCTCCACCACCACCACCTCCACCACCACCACCTCCACCTGCCTCAGCAGCAACGTCTATTGCTGCAGCAGCAGCGACAGCAGCAACGGCAGCAGCAGCAGCAGCAGCTTCTGGTACTGATGGGAACAAATCTGCATGTGTGTGGTGCGCGGGCCACGGAGCAGCAGTGCAGTGCTCCCTGTGCGCCCTCCGATTCTGCTACCAGTGCTTCAAGCGTCGCAAGGGCTACGGCGTCAAGGGGTGGACCACGGCCCTGCGCCAGCCCTCCTACACGTGCCGTGGGTGCTTGGGGGAGGAGGCACGTGTGGATGTGAGTGCGCATGGGGATGCGGGCATGGGTATGCCTAGGGATGCGGATGTGCATGGGGGTGTGGGTGTGGTTGCACGTGTCACAGGGCAGACAGGTGCTGGTGGTCATGCGGGTATGGGTGTGCGGTATAGGGACGAAGGGAGGGTTGGGAGTGAGGTGAGAGGGGGGGCATTGGTGGGAGCTGATGGGGGTGTGGAGGGAGGTGTGGAAGGAGGTGTGGAGAGAGGTGGGAGGCAGAAGAGGTTGCAGGAGGTGATGTGGGGAGAAGGGGGCGGTGAGGAGGTGGTTGAAAACGGTGGCAAGGTGGTTGGAAACGGTGGCAAGGTGGTTGAGAACGGTGGCAAGGTGGTTGGGGGAGGGCGTGTGAAGCGAGGGAGGAGGCAAGTCGAGGAGGAAGAGGAGGAGGGAGAAGAGGAGCAGGAGGAGGGAGTGGAGGAAGAAGAAGAGGAGAGAGAGGAGGAGGAGGAGGATGAGGAGGAAGAAGAGGAGGAAGAGGAGGAGGATAGGCGGGGTGGGAGAGACATTGATTTTGAAGAGGAGATAGGGGTGGGTCTGCTGAGCAGGGGTGGGGGAAGGCGAGCAGGGGAACGGGAGAAAGAGAGGACGAGCAGGGTTATGGAGCGAGGGAGAGGCAGGCAAGGGAGAGGAAGAGGTAGGGGAGACGGAGGGAGGGTCGGTGACTGGTTGGCAGATGTGCCATGCAGTGAGGAGGAAGAATCAGAAGGGGTAAGATTTGGTGCGAGGGGTAAGGGGAGAGGTGGAAGGGGTGGGCTTAGGGGAAGGGACGTGTGGGAAGTAACAGAGGGGGATGAGAAGAGGAGTGAGTGTGGGGAGGGGGGGGAGGAGGAGGAGGAGGAGGAGGAGGAGGAGGAGGAGGAGGAGGAGGAGGAGGAGGAGGAGGAGGAGGAGGAGGAGGAGGAGGAGAAGGAGGAGGAGGAGGAGGAGGAGGAGGTGTGTGTGCGATTTCAATATAGTAGTGAGTGTGGGGGCACAGAGGAGGAGGGGCAGGAGGGCAGTGCCGGGGAGATGGGAAGATTTGCATTGGAGGGTAACTGGGTGCATGTGGTGGTGAAAGGGGAGAAGGCGGAGCGATTGAGGTTGCAAGAGATAGTGCATGTGTGTGTGGTGAGCAGGGATGGGTTGAATGTGGTGAACAGTGAGAGTGTGGAATTCGGGATGGAGGATCAGGAGAGAGTGGGAACAGATGGTGTTAAGTGGGAAGGAGAGGGGGAGCAAGAGGAGGAGGAGGAGGAGGAGGAGGAGGAGGAGGAGGAGGAGGAGGAGGAGGAGGAGGAGGAGGAGGAGGAGGAGGAGGAGGAGGAGGTGGTGGGAGGGGAGGAGGAGGAAGGCACACTGGGGGGTTTACGAGAGGAGGGAGTGGGAGGGGTGGCAGAAGGTGAGGAAGGTGAGGAAGAGGAGGAGCAGTGGAAGCAGGAGCTGTGGAGTGAGTTGGATAGGATGGTGGCGGAAGTTCAGGATGTGGGTGCGGACCACATGGGTGGTGACCACGTGGGTGATGACCACGTGGGTGGTCTTGCAAGGGACATGCAAGCGCAAGCAAGTGGTATGGAAGAGACGGAGGGACACGTGGAGAGAGGTGAAGGCAGTGACAGGGAGAGAGCAGACGGCAAGGTGGGAGGTGTGGCATGGGGCCATGTGCATGGCATGGCAACAGGGGACTCACATGCGCTGGGTAACACGCATGAAACCCCTCATGTGGACACGCATGGGGGGTTGCAGGTAGGGTATGGGGGGCTCGTGGGGCATGAGGGGTTGAGGGCGGAGGGGGAGGGGGGCGGGGTGGGAGAGGAGGAGCAGTGTGAAGCAGAATGGCGCACAGAGCGAGTTCGAGAGGGTGGAAAGGAGCTGGCTAGGGGGTTAGTGAGTGTGGATGGGAGTGTGGGAGGTGAGGGTGGAAGCACGGCAGCTGCAGGCAGGGACACAGGGCCCTCTGCTCCCTGTGACTGGGGCGGAGATGACGGGGATGGTGATGGTGGGGGTGGTATACACGAGGCTATGGGCGAGGAGGTGTGTGGTGCGGGGCAGGTGTCTTGGAGGGGCGAGGAGGAGCAGGCGGGTGGCATGTGGGGGGATGGGAACCTGGGGCAGGGCTCTTGTGGAGCAGATGGGGGAGAGGAGGGTGGAGGGGGAGGAGAGAGGGGAGGAGGAGGGGATGATGGAGTTTGTGAGGGAGGAGATGGTGGGGATGGTGGGGATGAAGGGTGGTGGAGCCGAATGTTTCCTGATTCTCCCTTAGCACCCAATGAACAGCCTCACTCTCACCAGCAGCCACCCTGCCTCGAGCTGCACGACAGTGGAATGAATCTTGGCTCAATCCATCCTCCTTCACAGCTACCCCTTGATGCCCCTCATGCTCTCTCTCCCCCTGATCTTCCTGCCGTCCCTTCCCCTCATGCACAGGCAACCATGTCCCCTCCTATATCCTCTTCCTCTCCCATGCCTTCTTCCCCTTCCATACCGCCTCCCCATTCCGTAACCCTATTCGCTGCTGCACCCGCTGCTACTGCTGCAGCCGCCATGCCATCTCCCTCCCACGCCACCCCCAACGTTCCCCCATCTTCCGCCCAGACAACGCCTTTCATCATGCCCTCTCCCTCCCACACAGCCCTGCCTATTCCTCCATCTCCGTCCCCAGCGCCTTGCTCCCTCCTGCCTCACACCCCACACTCACATACTGCTGCGGCCCTCCCTCCGCCTCCTCCTCCTCCTCTTGTGCCCCATGCCCCGCCTGTGCCTGCTGTACTAAGTGCGGGTGGGACTGGTGGGGGCGGGACTGGTGGGGGTGGGACTGGTGGGGGTGGGACTGGTGTGTTAGGGACTCGGACAGACGGCCAAAGGGAGGAAGGCAAGGATGGAGAGGAGCAGGTGGTGTCTGGGACCAGGCCAAGCGCCCCTGCTGTGATTGGTGGGGGTGGGGCTGAGGCAGAGGGGCAAGGGAAGGAGGATTGGGGAGATGGGGGGTTGGGGGGGGATGCTGGAGAAGGGATGGGTGGAAGGGAGGGGTGGGGTGCAGGGGAGGTGGGTGGGAGGTGGGGCAAGCGGCAGAGGGTGGAGGTGGGTAATGCATCAGCAGCAAAGCTGAACACCCTAAGCTTGTGTGTGCATAGTAGTGATTGTATGGCAGGGCATGGCAGTGGTGGTATGATAGAGCAGGGTAACACGAGTGTGAGGGCAGGCAGGGGCGAGCTTATAGCAGGGACAAGGGGCAGCAACAGCTTGCACCATTCTAGCAGCAGTGATGGCAGTGGTAGCAGTGATAGCAGTGACAGCACCAGCAGCAGCAGTGTCAGCAGCAGTAGTGAAGAGACGAGTAGCACCAGTAGCGGTGACAGCAGCAGCAGCAGCATGAGTAGCATGAGTGGGGGAAGGCAAGCCACTGGAAATACTGCTGGTGAGAGGAGTCGGAGGAGGGAAGAGCAAGGGACGAATTCAGGAAGGATGGTGGCTGGGGAAGGGACCGCGGGAGGAGCAACAGAGAGAGGAGAGAGAGGGGAGGAAGTAGGAACCGATAATGGCGGGAAGAGGGAGGAGAGACCAGGAGGGAGAGGAGAATGTGAAGGAGCGAGAGGCACACCTGTTCTGCAGAGGATGGGGGGAGAGAGGGACGAAAGAGGTGGTGGTGATGTGAGGAGAGCACGTGAGGAGAAGGGAGGGAGGGGTGTGGAAGGGGAGAGGAGTTTTGAGGGTTCTCGAAACTCAGGAGGGGAAAGGAGTTGGAGTAAGGTGGAGGGAGGTAGGACTAGGGGCGCGAGAAGGGTTGGCAGCAGCGAAAGGGGAAGCAGTGAGCGGAGAGTGTGGAGAGGTAATGTGCCAGGTGGGGGCAGTAGGGAAAGGGCTCCTGGAAGCAGGTTGAGGGGAGGGGAGGGGCATAGGACGAGGGGAGGAGGGGGAGCGAATGCAGGACGTGAAGTCGGGTCACTTGGGAAGAGGGGGCGAGACGAGAGTGCGGGTGGGGGGAAACGAAGTGATTGGCGGGAGAGGCGTGGAGATGGGTGGGAGCGGAGTGGAGATGGGCGGCAAGAGAGGAGTGGAGATGGGCGGGAGAGGAGTGGAGATGGGCGGGAGAGGAGTGGTGATGGGTTATGGAAGGAGATTGCAAAGGAAGGAAAGGAGGAAAGAATACAGCCAGACATGGGGCAAGGCATGGGGTACGAGGGGAAGGGCACATTGCGTGTAAAGGGTGGTGAAGAAGCAAAAATGAGTGAGGATAATGTGGGGGCAAGTGGAGCAGAAAAGTTGGAGGTCAAGGGACACGTGGGTCACAAGGAAAGGGATGACAGGAACAGGGGAGCTAGAAGGGAAGACGACAGTGGAAGAGAGGTGAGAATGGACGCAGAAGGAAGGGGGTTGAGAAGGGACGATGAGAGAGCAAGGGGATTGAGAAGGGACCATGAGAGAGAAAGGGGAGTGAGAAGGGACGACGTAGGGAAGGGTGTTCAGGCTGAGGGGATGGCGGGGAAACAGCGGGAACGAGAAGGACAGGGTAGAGGTCGAGAAGAGAGGCAGAGGGATATCGATAGGAGAGCTGGTGGAAGGAAGGATAGATTTTGGAACAAGCGGAAGCACTCGAATGATTGGGACAGAGGCAGGGTGGTTGAGAGGAGGAGAGAGAGCAAAGATGGTGGGGCAAGAGAGAGGGACGGGCGGGGTCGAGGCATCATGAAGGAGGGGGAAAGTGGGCTGGGGAGAGATGGAATGCGTAAAGACAGGGAAGCTGGAAGAAACATGGTGAGGGATGATGAGAGGATGGGAGGAAGGGGAGATGGGAGGGTGAGGGAAAGGGAGGACGGTGAGGGATTGAAGAGAGGGAGCGAAGGGAGCAGGGAGAACAAGCAGTGGCATGGTAAGGATGGAAGGCGATCGGAGCGGGAGGGTGACTTGGCAAGAGAAAAAGGGATCACACTCAATAAGGGAAGAGAGGATGCAAGGCATGGATCGAACATCCAGCAGGGTGAGAGGAGCTGGATGCATGAAAAGAAGGGCTTTAATGCTCGTGATGGGGGTTTGAATGTGAGGGAGAAGGTGGGGGCGAACACAGGAGGAGGGACAGCAGGTGCGGTGGACCAGGAGAGTGTGAGGCGGCGTGGCGAGGGCGAGAGGAGTAACAGCTGTGGGAGTGGTGCGGAACGGAAGCTGACATTCCGACGGCAAGAAGGGGGGGTGCATGAAAGAAAGACCGACGAGAGCCAGCAGAGCAAGCAGGAAGGGTGTGTGCACGAGTCGAGAAGAGAGGAAGAGGGGAAGAAAGTGGGAGTGGGTGGGCAGGAGGGTGGTGGAGGTCGTAGAGGGGGTGTGGGGGAGGAGAGCAGCATGAAGCAGCATGGGTCTAGGAAGGATGAATACACCGTGCGGCATGACCAACCTCCAAAAACATTCAGAGCTGCCCGGAGATAGAGCATGCTGGGGAAGGTGGGGAGACGGGAAGAGGCACAAATTTCACTGTAATTATAGGTTTTTTTACAATATCGACTAGGCTAATTACGGAAGAATTCTGTCTCATCACCTCACCTCAGCCAGCTCATCATATCCTACCTTAGTGATGCCTTCCCTCACAGAGGAAAAACACAGTGCAGTAAATTTATCTTTCGTATCCGAATAGAACCAGATATTGGCTTGGTGCTAATTCCTACCATCTCCCGTCGAGTTCCATATTCAGGAATTGAGCTGCATTAAATGCTTGGGCAAAGTATAAATTGGAATTATTTCATAGATACACAATAAGTTCAATCCAGCGCTGAGCACGCCGGAATACGGTTCTGCTTGAATAGAGGACCCGAGGCAACGAGGTTCGGTGTCGATAGCTTAGGGATCTGGCACAAGCTTCGAAATCGAAGCTTCGGGAATTGGGGTACTGCAGAGCGGCTTGCGCGCTTCACCAAAGCTGTTGAGTGACTGCCCCGAGTCTGTCGCCCCTCTGCCCGAGCTTCCACTTTTATCGAAACTAGCAGTGCAAAGACGAAAATATTGGTTTCGGTCAGACATCGGAAACATTTTTTGTATCCGCGAACCGCGGATGTGAATCACACGAATTGCACCATGAGTCGCTCAGGGCAGCGCAGAAGGCGGAACGATGCCCGGGGATAACAAAATTGGGCAGCCTTGGGTGCTTGGCTCGGGCAGGGCGGGGCCGCGACAATCTCGAGTCCCGAGCCACCCCAACCAAGGAACCCTCCCAAGCATAGTCAGGGCTTCCCAGTTTTCCCTCCAACCCCTCTCCGACTTTGCTTTCTGGGTACAAATCCGCAGCCAAGGAATACTAGCAGTATAGTTGTCCTTGTTTGCTCACCACAAGAAGCTCCAGCCTCGGGATCAGCTTCAGGCTTCTAACTCAACTCCTCGTTTTCACTGCAATGGCCTCTGATTACCCGTCGTATGTGGATGCTCTTAGCTTCTGGAAGAGTCTCGGTCGCGAGAAGCGGACTGAAACATTGCTTCAACCTCCGAGCTCCTCCAGCAACACGAGCAAAGTAAGCCAGGCATCGGAGACATTCGATCCGACCTTCTCAGATCCGACGACGCTAGATCGTTCTGCATCGGATCGGTTTGCGTCCGTAGTACTAGCGGTGGCGTCAGAACCGGCGGTAACGATGGAACCAGCGGCGGCGGCGGCGGCGGCTGTAGCAGCTGGTTCGGCGAAGCCAGCGACACGCTCCGTACCAACCTCACAGCCGCTGCCATCTCGCATCGCTAAACCAAGCGGTCAAAGAATGATCATGAAAAGCCGCGCGGAGGGGACGACGCTGATCCCACGACCCGCACGAGCCGCTGCAGCTGAGAGGCAGATGCGAAGAAGGAGTTCCAACGGTACGAAGCAGCTCGAAGGCAGGAGTGATGCAATTTCGGCTGCAGCGAATAAGGTTCGTGCTGGATCGTCGTCCAAGGTGGTGCTCGCTGCGGGCTCACGGTGTCCATGGCGGCCGTAAGCCTTCCGAAAGCTCCAACCTCCAACGCGGCGCTGATCTACCAAGACTGCACCCGGGTCATATGAGAAAGGGGACCTTCCCTGGGACACCTCCCAGTGGACCCCCGTGCGAGAGGGGGCCTGATTTCCTCTTGGGTAAACAAAATGACGAAAAAAACAAGAAAAAAAAAAGTGGAAAAAAAAACGAAAAGAAAAGAGACGAAAAACAAATCATTTGATAAGCAGCAAAGGAGTATTCCAGCGGGATGAAGGTGGAGGGCACAGTAGCACCTCAAACAGATTACAGCAGTAGGGAGGTGGTTGGGAGGTTGGGAAGTGGGATGATGGTGGGTCCCTTTTTTGCACCCTATTTGCCAGGGTGTTCGGGAGAGTGGGTTGGGAAACTGGTGGGGGTTGGAAGGGTGAAAATATGCTGCCATTCCGCTGTGGCTTTGCTTTCAGTTCTATCCTCCAGGATAGCATCAAGTCAAGAACGCTCTTGAGGAGCATGGCTCTGGCCTGGAGTGCTCCCCACAGGATGGCTCTGGCATGGAGTGCTCCCCACAGGATGGCTCTGGCATGGAGTGCTCCCCACAGGATGGCTCTGGCCTGGAGCGCCCCCCAAGGGATGGCTCTGGCCTGGAGCGCTCCCCAAGGGATGGCTCTGGCCTGGAGCGCTCCCCAAGGGATGGCTCTGGCCTGGAGCGCTCCCCAAGGGATGGCTCTGGCCTGGAGCGCTCTCCAAGGGATGGCTCTGGCCTGGAACGTTCCCCAAGGGATGGCTCTGGCCTGGAGCGCTCCCCAAGGGATGGCTCTGGCCTGGAGCGTTCCCCAAAGGATGGCTCTGGCCTGGAGTGCTCCCCAAGGGATGGCTCTGGCCTGGAGCGCTCTCCAAGGGATGGCTCTGGCCTGGAGCGCTCCCCAAGGGATGGCTCTGGCCTGGAGCGCTCCCCAAGGGATTTCTCTGGCCTGGAGCGCTCCCCAAGGGATGGCTCTGGCCTGGAGCGCTCCCCAAGGGATGGCTCTGGCCTGGAGCGCTCCCCAAGGGATGGCTCTGGCCTGGAGCGCTCTCCAAGGGATGGCTCTGGCCTGGAGCGCTCCCCAAGGGATGGCTCTGGCCTTGAGCGCTTTCCAAGGGATGGCTCTGGGCTGGAGCGCTCCCCAAGGGATGGCTCTGGCCTGGGGCGCTCCCCAAGGGATGGCTCTGGGCTGGGGCGCTCCCGAAGGGATGGCTCTGGCCTGGAGCGCTCCCCAAGGGATGGCTCTGGCATGGTGTGATGTGATTAGAAGCTGTAGCTCAAATTGTGTTTAGGATTATATGTCAATGGTTTATCATGTCAATGCTCATCCAGGAAAATGCTTCACTTGTACAACATTTGAAATGGGAAAGAAGACGCAAATGTACCCCACTCAGCAACTCAAGCCATACCTTAAGTGGCGAGAGGGGCCGGAGGAACAAGTTCCTTAGGGCTGCTTGTATGTCCGGAGAGTCCTTGAGCAAAAAGAAAATACTACCACCTTAGGCAAACAATTCTAGTATTTCACATGCTGTCATTGTGTAGCGCTTCTGATCTGATTTCAAATGCTGTTGGATGATGCATGCCTATTTACAAGTTTGTGGACCAGTTTTCACCACTGCAGCTTCATTTCATAGTTGGCCATTATCACATGTCACCTCAGAAGAGCCTGCAACGCTGCCTTTGCTGTAACAGGCTTCATTTCTAAGGCGCCTCAAGAATCGTCTCAGTTGATATCATGACATGTCACCTTCGAAGGTCTTGCAACATTGCGTTCATCTGTGCTTCACAACCCCTCAGCAACAGCATTCTTGAACTCTGTGTGTATTCCTTTGAACAACGCTCTCAGGTCGCCTTCGCTTGCTGCTGCCTGCACTGCCTCTGCCAAGCCTGGAATGGACGGTTCACTGCTTATCACTGCGCAGATATTGCAGTTCAGTGGAAATAAGGGAGAAAAGGTGGATGCTGGTTGGAGTAGTGGATGAAATGATGAAATGGGGGTGAGGGATATGGAGAAGGCGGAGAGCGACAGGAACAATGATTTTTTTTTTGGCTCCCTCTAAACTTTATCTGTTATAAAGTTTATTACACCCTTTATTATCACTTCACGTACCTCGAAAGCTCTTGTCCCTGTCACCGCCCATATCTAGCAGGGCAATGAACTGCCTTTCGGGCATCAGGGGATCTATCTTTGTAAAGGTCAATCGAAGCAAGCCATCTGGAGACAAGGGTCATGGTACACAGAAAAGGAAAGACAGTAGCAGTTTAGCACGAACGAAATCATCGAGAGAACGTGTCAAGAGGGAGCGAGGGAGGTAGCGGGGGTGAATGTGCTAACATGTGTGTTGTGTGTATGGCGAGGGTGTAATGCTCCACAGAACGAAAGATAATGGAATGGCTTCGGGAAGATGGCGGGGTACAAGCAGAATCAGTGAAAGAAAGAGCGAGGGAGGTAGTGGTGATGAATGTGGAAATGCGTTTGTGTTGTGTGTGTAGTGAGAGTGTACCTGCTCCACGGAGAAAAATAAAATGGGATCATATTTGTCAGAAGAGGTAGGCACGAGAGGAAACATCAAGAGAAAGGGAACGAGGAAAGTAGTGAGGGTGGAGAGGTTTTGTAGAATGCCAAGCAGAGAATGCACCAGGCTTGAGAAATGAAGGCGCGAGGAGAACGCACCAGGACTGGGGTCAAAGCGAAGGCCAAATGCTTCTCTGAACTTTATCACGACTGACAGCAGGGCATCGATGCGCTGTTGCCGAACCTCCTCTGCGTTCTCGAGTGCTGTGCATCAGAAACAAACAATCAAAGCGTTGGTGGGTGGTGATTGATACACAACTGTTGCGTCCGAGCGAAAAAATCACCCGCTGTTCCATCACTCCCTCACCTTCATCCTCTGCCTGCACGTCCGCCTCCAATTCTGCAACAAAATCTTTCGCCTTCTCCAGCTGAGGCGCCAGCATTGCTTTGTCCAGACCCAGCCTTGCCATCTCTTCACACTGCCGGTCCAGGTCATCCTGCTGCTCCTCTTGCTCTGGGGTGAGCAGGGGGAATGGAAAGGAGCACAAGGTGAGAGAGGGGGCAAGGCAAACAAGTTCAGATATGACGTGTGGACACAAAGAAAAGCAACTTGGAATGGAAGTGACACCTACCAGAGGCAGGTGCAATGGCAGTGACGGCTTGCAACAAGTGCTCTATATGGCACGAATAGCTTCTGGGCATGCTCTCCCAGCCATTCGCGAAAAAGCAACATGGGATGCTTACGTTTCAAAATCCTCTGCTCCTCAGCCAAAAAATCCTGCTCCAGTTGCCTCAATTCGTTTAGCTTATCTGCGTTCAAAGGCGACGATTATGGCATACTGTATAAGAATCGTGGACGTGGTCACCACATACCCTATGCTACAGATTTGGAAAAACCTCGAAAAGTGCGAGCCGACTTGGAGATGTGGACATTTCAACAACCAGATGCATCACCTTGCGTCGTACGCACTGTCGCCGAATCGCGCCGCGCGGCGTCGTGCTGCTTCGCGATCTGTTTATCGGCCAAAGCGCCCAGATCTTTCCTAAACTCGCGAAGGTCCCTGTCGAGCTGATCGACCTGTGCGTCACCAAGTATGTTAATCTTATCCTTTCCAGACGACGCCATCGAAGAAAAGATCGCGTTGCAATGCTATTTGATTATTGAAGTCTGGATCTGTGTTATGCGACCTGCTTGCAACAAGAAACACGGTGCAGCAGACTATGCGCTTCCTTTGTCAACGAAATGGAGTCACAGATCACTCCGACAATGAAGTACATACTGCACGCGGTGCGAGCTAACGGTTCGCTGTGCGTGGTGCATGCAGAGGAAAACCAAGATTGATTGTCGTGGGCACAATCTAGGGTGTGATGGTGGAGTGGGGGTGATAATCGCGATGCACTGGAGATTCAAATTCAAGCCACAACCTCGCACGGTAACTTTCTCCGACGAGTTTCGCAACAAACCCAACGCAACTCACCCCACCCACCCTTCAGCTGAACAAACCGCTCTGTTGCACTGCGCTCTCCCTCCAAAATCCGAACATGTTCCGCGTCAGTGCTGACATCCCGCGCCACACATCCTTCAGCCCTCTCGGCTTGCTTGAAACGGTAGATTCTTGAAAGCTTGATTGCTGCACCTGCTATTCTGCTTCGAATGCATAACACAACCTTTAGTGTCCAGCTTTACAGCTTTGTAATCTTGGTTACATCCCCACTCTTGCGTTCCTGACATTCGTCGCCATGGATGCATCTGGGTTCAACATGACCCTAGGAAATGATACGGATGCCAGCGTATTAACGCCAAGTGCAAACGACACGGACGTTAGCATTTTCACAACGGGAATGGTTCCGTGCGGTCAAATCCCCGTTCCGATGGCTCCCAAAGGCGCATCTTACATAGCTAGCGTCTCATTGCTGGTTCAGCTGGTTATGCTAGCGATCGCTCTTTTGGTGGGCCACGGTCTTAGACGGAAGAAGATAGTTATAATCCCTGAAGCTGGCGCGGCGTTAGCCTTTGGTATGCCGATTTAAGTGATTTTGCTCTCGTTTATATTCTTCCTAAACGCGCTATTTTCTCCAGGTGTGCTAGTAGGGCTGGTTGTGAAGTTCCTTCGCCATGGTTCGGAGTTCAGGTAAGTCCGCGTTCATAACTCTTTACATTCAGCCGTGCAAACTCCGACATACTTTGTTTTCGCAGGGAATGGATCAACTTCAACAATAACTTCTTCTTCTATTTCCTGCTGCCGCCGATAATATTATATCCTTTCACGTCGTCTGTGTCCCTCATTTTGTTTAAATCTCCGCCATTACGCCTTGGTTTCTTGCTCTCTTCGCCTTGCCTTGTAGACTACGCACGCATGTCCTTCCTCGTCCGCACTTACGCTCCAAGCTTGGAGTCTCTTATTGCTTCATGCGTGCCCACTCTCTTCGCAATTGTGTTTGCGCGAAATTCTTTTTTCCTTAACCGTTTTGATCATTTTGACATTTCCACTGAGTCGGGATGGAGCTTGAAGACGGTAAGTGCTGGGCGTAGCTAGCTCGTTACTACTGGCTGTCAGTCGCTAACACCCAATCGCTGTTTCAGAAACCATTTTTTAACAACTTTGGAGCGATCTGTACATTCGCATTTGCTGGGACGCTCATATCGACCTTGGTGGTGGGATGCTTCATGTGAGCCCGTTGATTGCTCAGCATGATCTGTGCTTGCAATATTTTTCTCGTTTTTGGATCCAATTTGAATAATCACAACTCTTCAATAACGGATTGAGGTCTCGTTGATATTCCTTTCAGGTATTTTGTTGGACTATTGCATGCTGCTCACGAGATGCCTATTATGGTGTGCCTTGCCTTTGGAGCTTTAATATCAGCAACTGATCCAGTATCGGTTCTTGCAGTTTTCCAGGTACACCTTTACTCGATGCTGTGACCCTCTTACTGTAGGGACACATCTGATGAGTGTTGTTGTGCGTTTGCAGGAATTGGGTGTAGACCGCACCCTTTACGCCCAAGTATTTGGAGAATCTGTGCTCAATGATGCAGTAAGATGCTTTAGAAGTGAAGTGGATTAGGCGAATTATCGTATCATATGCTAATCCATGAATTTGTTGTACTTGTAGGTCGCGATAGTGCTCTACAGGACCATGTTGTCATTTGTGACAACCAAGGTTGATGGCAGAGGAGTATGGTTTGCTATTTCGTTTTTCTTAGCCAATTTCATTGGTTCTTTCTCAATAGGTAAGAGTATACCCGTTATGTCTTTATGCTGCTGTTTTTTGTTATCGGGTGCTGAAGTACCTTTGCAGGAGTGATTATGGGCTTGTTGAGTGCCCTTGTCTTCAAGCATTGCGGTTTTGAAGATGATGGGTAAGATTGGTACACAACTTTGTTAATGCCAATTCGTCTTGGTGCAGTCTGTTGACCCGGTGGTCCTACTTTGTGCAGTCTCGCTTTGCTGCAAGCCTGCCTGCTTTCACTATTCCCCTATATGGCGTACATGCTGGCTGATGCCTTCGAATTATCTGGTATCGTGGCCATCCTTTTCGCGGGAATGGTGAGGTGATGCGTTTGCAAATTTTCGTAATGGAAAGTTCACTGATTGATTCAATATTTCAGACGATGAGATACTACACAGCTCCGCATCTGAATGAGAAGGCGCTGGCTACAACAAGTAGCTTCTTCTCCATCCTTGCAAAGTTATCCGAAACTTTCGTGTATGGTTATATCCATTTTCCACTGTTTCGGTTGAGTTAGCAAGCACTTGAGTACACCTATGTACGCAGCTTTATATACATGGGAGTCGCGGTCTTCTTGGAGAAACAAAGTTGGAGAAGCTACAGATTTACTCTGTTTACTATCGTAAGGCACTGTGATTTTGTTTCGTCTGCTTCTGCTTCTCGCTCTTTCTCTGACCTGACATTTGATTGTCTTGCAGCTTGCTATTCTTATTGCAAGGTATTAAATTATTTCCTTCTGCTTCATTTGGTTCAAAAATACGCCTTGCTAATGAGGTCATTCTTCTGCAGGGTGTTCAACATATATCCTCTCGCATACATTGTCAATGCTTTTCGCCAGAAGCAAAGCAGAATTCCAATGAATCATCAGCATGCGTTGTGGTTCAGCGGTACGTTCTTGTTGATCTAGCTGTACCGCGTGTTCGAACTTTTCCATCATAAAGTTGACATCTGTCCACTATACCCCAACCCTTTGCTCCAGGGCTTCGTGGAGCCATGGCCTTTGCCCTCGCACTACAGTCTATTACTGACCTTCCTGATGAATATGGCCGTGTTATTTTGACGTCAACATTGTTAACGATTGCTTTCACTGTGAGTGAAACTTTTGAAACTTGAAACGTCACAATTGCAATCCAGCTCATTGTTTTCAGGGCAAAATACTGTATGCTGGCTCCATTCAGCCCACCTTCATCTGGTTATTACAATGGCATATGATGCACAGGTGTTGTTTATTGGTGGTGCAACATCCCACATGCTTTCATGGCTAAAGATCGAATGCAGCGGGGTCCGAAGTGAACACGATGATCAGGTAACCTGCTCTTTGCACCCAATAACATGTGTCTCTGAGTGTGTGGAGGAAAGTAGGGGGGAAATGAGGGGATGCGTGCATGTGTGTGGGTTTGTGTGCGATCTTGACATGTACGGATTTTTGCATTGCAGGATATGCAGACGGAGGAGATAATGGTAGCTCAACCACCTGAAAAACCTCAAAGCAATTTGAAGAAGAAGTTTCAGCAGCTGAAAGAGAAGTAAGACTAATGTTTTTTTAGAGACTTCAGTAAAACGATTTTCCTGATAAACTTCTGCTGCAGGGCTAGCTTTGCTTCAATCGACAAGAACTTTTTGACTCCAGTTTTTGCAACACCATCCCGTTCACATCCGCGTCTTGTGGAGCTCGATCCAAACGTTACGCCTCCGCAACCACACCGTCCAAGTTCTTCTTCAGTTGATGGTGAGTTCTCTACTTGTGGTAACTGCTCAACCTTAGTATGTTGCTATATATCACACTACCGTGTTCGCGTCTTTGCCGGATGCTGAACAACACACAGTGCCTATCTTGCATGCTGAGAAAATTGTGTCGTGTGACATTCGTTGTGCTTGCTCTTTTATACTTCTGATTTGTTCCATCTTGTTGGTTGGCTGCAGGAACAGAAAGAAGAGCAGTAGAAATTGAGCTTGCTCCAGTGGATGAATTGTTTCCAGTCGATGATGATAGTATGACCATTCCCCTGACAACTGCACTTTCACTGCCCCTAGAAGGAGGGCACCTCAGTCGGCGTGCCAGTGCCAATAGCCAGCAGGGAGGATGAGGATGATCCTTGCAGGACATGCCACTGAAGATTCATGTGGATGATTCAGTGTAAATTCATTGCCAAGCTCCTGTGTGGGTTGTATGTCAGTAAAGCTGTTCAATTTGTCTTGCTTTCCAGCCTCTATGCCAAGAAGAAGCTCTTTCAGTCCTGCACACCACCTTATAGCCTACTACGGTACTGTTTAATTCACATGGACCCTAATATGGTACTGCTGCAAGGAACCAGACTTGGTGGTGTATAGCAGATGTGGCAACAAAGGCTTGCAGATGCAGGGTAAGTTATGATCCAAGTGCACAGGTCATCAGTTTCACACATCGCCAGCCTTGACAACCACAGTGTAGTTGCGGCGAGGATCAAAGTAGCGGCGGTAGATGAAGAAGCCACCACCAAGCAGCAGAGCAGCGAGGGCTGTGATGGCAATGAAGGCCAGCCAGCCCGTCAACACTAGTGGAGAGCCCTCTGCCTGCTCCTCCGCCTCAGCCTGAGCCACCAGCTGGATCTGAAGGTTGGAAAGGTGGGCAGAGAGAAAGACAACACACACGATCAAATTAGAGGGAAAAGGATTGGGAGAGAATAAGAGGAGGACATGGAATTGTACCGTACAAGAAAAGCAATAAGGAGAATATGAGCACTTTCACTGCAGATCCAGCCACAACCCACCTCTGCGATTTTAGTAAGCGTGTCCTCCAGCTGATTCTCATTCACCAGCCCTCCCACGTGCCCGCCACTGCCCGCCACCACGCCCACCATCTGCCGGCACTGCTTATCCGAGATCTTAGTGAGAGGCGTGTCCACGAGGCACTGCCCAAACACCCCCACCACGGCGCCCTTGTGCTCGCTGAACCCCGCCACGTTGGTGCTGTTGCAGAGGGTGTCAATGTCAGTGTGGCATGGCTTGGTGAGGGGCGCGTTGCTGTGGTACATCCACAGGGCGTTGCGCACCACATAGGTCACCTGGGAGTGGGTGGGGATTGGGGAGAGGGAGAAATGAGAACAGAGGATAACAGTGTGGCATGGTTTGGTGAGACCAGCACTGCTGCAGTACATCAGGATTCCATACGACATACATCACGTGGTTTTGTTTGGAGTGGTAGGTGGGGAATACAAGCCAGTCATGGTAAAAACGAAAGCTCAACCACATGTGCCAGCTGCAAGCCTGCCTTTTCTCATCTCAGACTGGCAGGCCGGCTTGAGGGTCTGATACGGCTCCAGCAGACAGCGCAGGATGGGCCCATAGCCGCCCTCAGTCTCCTTCTCTCCCATTGACTGCTCCGCAACCTCATCCCCGAAGCACCTCAAAAGCCTGCAGCATCACCGTTGTGTCTCTTCTCACCTCGGACTGGCAGGCAGGCTTGAGGGTCTGGTACGACTGCAGCAGACAGCGCAGGATAGGCCCGTAGTCGCCCTCTGCCTCCTGGTCCCCCATTGACATCTCCGCCGCCTCGTCCACCTCGCTGCACTTCTCCTCCACGTCAGCATTGCACTGCAGCTGCAGCGCGATGTCGGTGCGGTAGTACTGGGACTGGCGCATGGTCTGCAGGTCCACCTCAGCACGGCAGGCTACACTCATGCCGGACTGACAATAAGGGAGGAGGGAGAGAGGGAAGGGTGGAAAGGGATGGGGGATGAGGAAAGCAATGCGCGATGGCGATGCGGTGCTACTGCGACTGGCGCATGGTCCGGAGATCCACCTCAGCACGGCACGCCACACTCATGCCGGACTGGAGAAGCTTGAAGAGGATGTGAATGGGAGGCAGGGGAAGGAGAAAGCAGTGAGCACATGTCTGTGTTGCACTGCAGTGCAGCTGCAAGGCAATGTCGGTGCAGTAGTACAGCAATTGGTGCGCGCAACTCGGGGTCGCACCGCAGCAGCAGAGCAATGTCGGTGCGGTAGCACTGGGATTGGCGCATGGCCTGCAGGTTGATCCCGGCACGGCATGCGCTCATGCCAGGCTGACGATAAACGAGAGGAGCAGGCACCGGAAGGCATGGCCACCCATGGAAAGGATGCACTAAAGACTGGTGGAATGTGCTGAACACTACAATACGTGTGAGGAAGCTTTACCTCCTGGATGTGCCACTGCAGGCAGCGGAAGGCATGGCCGCCCATGGGCGGCACTCCGCGGCAGAACTGGTGCAGCTCCAATCCACACGCGTTCATCAGCGTGGGGGTCAGACGGATGTCTGATGCCTGGTGGTGGGCGAGCAAGGGGGAAAGGGGAGGAAAGGGAAGAGAAAGAGAGGAGAGAGCGAGAGACAAGGCTAAGGCACATGGATGGCAGAACTGGTACAGCTCTAGGGCACACGCGTTCATGAGCGTGGGGGTTAGACGGATGTCGGACGCCTGGTGGTGGCGAGAGGGGAATGGGGGGGTCGAGAGGTGAAAGGAAGAGAGGAGGAGAGCCATGGCTATGGCACATGGCAGAACAAGTGCAGCTCCAAGCCAATTGCGTGCTTTCACAAATGTGGGATCGAGGAAGATGGGTGAGTGGTGGGGAGCAGTGGGGGGGATGAGTGGCCAAGCCAAGCCAAGCCAAGCCAAGCCAAGCCAAGCCAAGCCAAGCCAGGCCAAGCCAAGCCAAGCCAAGCCAACATATGCTGTTTTGGTACGGTCGCTAATGTGGTTGTGGTCCCTCCTCGCATACCCTGCCCCCGCATTCCATTGCACACGCGCAGCATCGCACTGAACCGCTTTGCACCCACCTCCATGGCAGTGAACCGCAGCTCCTCCGCCTTGCACTTGGCTGACAGCTTCTTCCTGTTCTGCCGCAGGCAGGAGAGCGTGCGGCTGTGGTCCCTCCCCGCATACCCTGCCCCCACATATTCTCTCATACGCACAGAACCGCACTGCACCGCACTGCACCCACCTCCATGGCGGTGAACCGCAGCTCCTCCGCCTTGCACTTGGCGGACAGCTTCTTCCTGTTCTGCCGCAGGCAGGAGAGCGTGCGGCTGTGGTCCCTCCCCGCATACCCCGCCCCCGCGCCACAGTACATGTCCGCGTCGTCCTTGCACGCCTGCTGCAACGGCACGTCCAGGGCCGGATCCTCCACGGTCCTGCGATTACAGAGAGATGCAACGTGAGAGGCAATATGAGAAAGAGCAGGAATCAGGTAGGCGAGAAGCAGTGGTGGCAGGCATAAGAGCCACAGTACATGTCCGCATCGTCCTTGCACGCCTGCTGCATCGGCACGTCCAGGGCCAGGTCCTCCACGGTCCTGCGATTGGTGAAGGGGGTGAGAGAAGGGAGCAAGTACAATTGTACAGTAGGTGGAAGTGGCAGTGGGGGCACACACCACAGTACATGTCCGCATCGTCCTTGCACGCCTGCTGCAGAGGCACGTCCAGGGCTGGGTCCTCCACGGTCCTGCGGGGAAAGGAGCAAGTACAATAGAATTGCACAATAGGTAGCCATGCCAGTGGGGGAACGGGCCACGGTACATGTCCGCATCGTCCTTGCACGCCTGCAAGACACCCACCCAGAGCTCTCCATCCGCGATCACTGCTCAGTCAAGCACTTGAGCACAATAAAGGCACACCACCATTCCTAGCACCATACCATACCTGCGCTCAAAGTAAAACACCTCCTCGCGGCACTCAGCGTTCTGCAGCTGAGACACCTTCTCCGACAGGCACTTGAGCACCGCCCCTCCGCACGCCTGCCCTGCGGCCGCTGCTGCAGCAGCCATGGCGCCCTCGACGCCCGGAGGGGCGCAGGCGTTTATGCAGAGGTGCTGCACGTCCTCGAAGCATGCGTGGTTCAAACGGAAGTTGAGGCGGAAATCTGATAGGGGGAGAGGGGAAGATTGGGTTTGAGAGAAAAAGAGGGGTGGTGAGGGGTGCCGAGTGGTGCACTGCACACGCGCTCATGCAGTGGTGCTGCACGTCCTCAAAGCACGCGTGGTTCAGGAGGAAATCTGGAAGGGGAGTGGAGATGAGAAAGATGATTCAGACACAGAGGGGGTGGTGAGGAGTGCAGGGTGGTGCACAGGCTGCATGCAGAGGTGCTGCGCAGACTCGAAGCAGGTGCATGTCAAACGGACGGGACGAAGAGCATGCTGCAAAGTGTACTGTTCCTGCTGCAATGCTCTTGAGAATGCTGTACATGCTGCAATGGGGAGGAGTCGATCAACTCACCCTGTGCGCTGCGCTGCTCGTCCCTCTTGACCTCGTCGGCACATGCCTTGCCCATGTCCGCATCTGCCACATGGTCCTGCAGACACTTCACCATGTCGGGTGCTGTGTGAGCAGCGGGACAGAGAGACATACACACACAGACAGACATACAAAAAGCGGAGCACACAGATTCATAAATTAAGAATCAGTGCCGGCGTGACCTTGCCTGTGTATGCGTCGGCCAAATGGCCCTGCAGACACTTCACCAGGGGGCTTGCTGTGTGAACAGAGGGACACACAGACAGTGACACACATGGATGGATGCACCATGCCCACTCACTTACACTCACTCACTCACTCACTCACATCCACACTCACTCACTCACACTCACACCCACAGTCACTCACTCACTCACACCCACTCACTCACTCACGCTCACACCTACACTCACAGTCACACACCCACACCCACACTCACACACACACCTACACTCACATTCACACTCACACCCACACTCACACTCATTCCATGCGCCTTCTCCTCACCTTTGGAGCACAGGCGCTTCATCTCGTCGGCACACGCCTGGCGCATGGCAAACTTGAAGTCTATGTCTCCCGCGTAGCGGATCTCCTGCAGAGATGGGGATGAGGTGGGTGGGAGGAGGGGAGTGAGGTACGAGGGAAGGGTTGAGAGAAGGAGGGTGGTTGAAAGAGGGAGGAGGGTGAAAGAGGGAGGGGGGTTGAAAGAGGGAGGGGGGTTGAAAGAGGGAGCGGGGTTGAAAGAGGGAAGGGGATTGAAAAAACGAGGGAATTTGAAACAACGAGGCGGGTTAAAAGAGGCAGAAGGGTGTAAGAAGGGGGAAGGTGATTTGAACTTAAAGCGCAGCACCCACCTGGTCAAATAGAGCGGCGCGGCACACAGGGCGAAGGCCCTTGCGGTGGTCCTGCAGACACGTGAACACCCTGAATTCACTCCCTATACCCACCTCTCAACGCGCCGCATCCACCCATCTGGTCAAAGAGCGCAGCGCGGCACACTGGGCGCAGGTCCTTGCGGTGGTCCTGCAGGCATGTGAACACCCGTGCATGCACCATCTAAACCCACCTGCCACCAGGTCTCAAAGAGCAGCTGCAGCACCCACCTGGTCAAAGAGGGCAGCGCGGCACACGGGGCGCAGGTCCTTGCGGTGGTCCTGCAGGCACGTGAACACCCGTGCGTGGCCGCTCGGCACGTCCTTACACAGCTTCTCCTGGTCGGCTGGTAGAGAAGAGGGAGAATGCAGGAGAGCAGCGAGAGCAGAGAGAAGGGAAGCATGGGAAGCAGAGCAGTGAATTCTCGTGCGTGGCTGCTAGTGACGTCCCTGCACAGCTTCTCCTGGTCGGCTGGTACAATGGGGAGAGGGAAGAGGGAGGAAACGGGGGAGACGAGAGAGCGTGCATTGGGAGCATGTGGCATGAGAGGAAAGAGGAGAGGGGGGAAAGGCGAGATTTGCATGGATCAGTTCCCATGTGAGTAGGTAAGCGATTTCATACTAGAAACACATGGTCCTGGGTACAGGCGCGTTTCGAGACAGCTAAAAACACAAGAGAGGATGCTGGGATGAGGTGGTTCTGAATGGAAGGGCTCACGCTGGCAGGCGTCATGCAGAGGGTGGTCGAATCGAATGTCCTCTGCTGCCCTCTTGGTCAGGCGGTGCACCTGATTGGGGGTAGTGGAGAGGGGGGGGGGGATGGGGAACGGTGAGAGTGGGAGGAAAGGGGGCGGGTTTAAGGCAGCTTCAGAAGCCGTGCAGAGGGTGGTCGAAGCGAATGTCCTCCGCAGCCTTCTTGGTGAGGCGGTGCACCTGATGGGGGAGACAAGACAAGGGGGATGGGGGGACGCAAAGCGAGGGTGTGTGGGGAGAGAACAACAAAGAGGAAGACAAGATGCAGAAATGAGGAGACAGCGATGTAGGTGTGGTGCGAACTTGTGTGTATGGCCGTCTGTGCATGTGTGCATGTGTACGTGAGTGTTTGTGTGCGTGGATATGCACCGGGGTTGGGAGCATGTGTGCAGTGCGTGCACCGGCATCGCGAATCCTTGTGCTCCTCCTTGAAGTCCTGCAAGCACTCCATCACCTTGCTGTCTCTGCTGCTACCACCTGGGACCACCTTCCTGTCCCTATTGCTCACTGCTCTGGACCCCCTCGCCCCAACCCAAGTGCACCTGCTGGCGGCAGCGCGGGTCTTTCAGTTCGTCCTTGTAGTCCTGCAGGCACCCCATCACCTTGCTTGCTCTGCTGCTACCAGTGGCACCTGGGACCACCTTCCTGTCTCTATTGCTCACTGCTCTCGACCCCCTCTTTCATCAGTGCACCTGCTGGCGGCAGCGCGGGTCTTTGAGCTCCTCCTTGTAGTCCTGCAGGCACTCCATCACCTTGCTGTCCCAGTTCGCCACGTCACTGATGTCCTCCGCGTCCGGGTAGCACGTCTGGGAAGAGAGCGCAACACGAGCATGAACAAAAAAGGCAGGCTATATGAGGGAGGGAGAGAGTCAAAGGGAGAGAAAAGAAGTTGAGCATGTGACTAATGCCCTCCGCGTGTGGTGTGGGTAACAGGTCTGGGAAGAGAGAGCAGCAAGAGGACAGTCAGAGAGAGGCACAGCGGGAAAGACAGAGGGATCGGTTCGCCACGTCACTGATGGCCTCCGTGCCGGAAGCACGTCTGGTGCAGGCACAAGGGAGGGATAGCGAGTGGGGCACAGCGAGCAGTTATTTTTACCACAATTAAAACCACTTCTCTCACTCACCTCCACGATGTCCTTGTGGCAGTACTTGCGCAGACTGGCATTGAGGCGGAAGTCCACCGCCCTGCTGTGTGTGATGTGATGTGTGCCATGCAGCGTGTACTGCACATGCACCTCGCTATAGTCACATCCACTACTCTCACCTCCACAATATCCTTGTGGCAGTACCTGCGCAGGCTGGCATCGAGGCGGAAGTCAACCACCCTACGCTGCATGCATGATGTGACGTGCACCGTACACCATGCCCCATACACCATGGGCCATACACCATGGGCCATACACCATGGGCCATACACCATGGGCCATACACCATGGGCCATACACCATGGGCCATACACCATGGGCCATACATCATGGGCCATACACCATGGGCCATACACCATGGGTCATACACCATGCGCCATACACCATGGGCCATACACCATGGTCCATACACCATGCGCCATACACCATGCGCCATACACCATGCGCCCCTGTCTCACCTCCACAATGTCCTTGTGGCAGTACTTGCGCAGGCTGGCATCGAGGCGGAAGTCCACCGCCCTGCGCTCCATCATCTTGTCAAACTCCGCCTTGCTGCATGTGTGTCATGTCACATGCAACATGCACCATGCACCATGCATGCACCACACACCATTCCATGCATGTATACCGCGTAGACAACACGTCACAATGCATGCCATGCACACCATGCATCACATAGAAACCATGCGTGGCATGATGCGTGCACACGATGTCAGCATGTCATCATGCATAGCACACCACGTCAGACTCATGCATTCATACGGAGCACATAGCAGCAGACACACAGGGTCAAATGTGCATGTGTAACAACATGCTACCAGGTCACGCATTCATACATACAGAGCACATGGCAGCAGGCACACAGGGTCAAATGTGCATGTGTCAAGGCATGCTACCAGATCATGGAGCGATCAGGATCGATTCGGTGCTCCTCCAGGGAGTCCTTTACCCTCTCATCCCCCCCTCTCTGCCCCACCCATAACCCTCCCCTTGTCCCCAGCCCTACCCCAGCCCATTACTCGCCCTCACCAGGTCTTGGAGAACTCGGGTTGGGTTCGGAGCGGTGCTCCTCCAGACAGTCCGTCACCCTCAAACATCCCCCCCCTCTATCGACCCCTATTCCCTGCCACCTGCGACCCACACTTCATCCATCACTCACCAGGTCTTGGAGAACTCGGGCTCGGAGCGGTGCTCCTCCAGGCAGTCCTTCACGCGTGCATCCCCGGGCAGCACATCAGGACAGAAGCGCCGCTTGTCGTCCAGACAGGCTGGTAGCGCGCAGGGCATGCGAGGGCGGGCGATGGCAGTTCAGGTGAGGGGAGAGAGAGATGGCAGAGAGACAGAGACACAGCCGACAAGGCATGAAGAGACACATAAGTGCCTTTATATGAATGCAACACATATTGCCATGCGAAGCACAGGCACATACATACATGCTGCATGTCATGTATGCGATGCGCATATGAGACCGTTTTGCACATCTCACCATGTAATATCACTTTCCCACCTTATGTATGGCCGTATGCTGAGTTGAATGCCATCTGCATTCTCCTCTTCCTGTTGGCTTTCCCGGGCCAGCATGCTATACTTCGTGAATCCTTATTGCCCTGATCTACTTATAATCCGTTCTTTAAAACCCTAATAGCCTGCTTTGTCTCTACAACCCTCCCTCCCACCTCAGAGCAGGCGCACGTTGAGGCAGATGTTATCGGCGTTCTCCACCTCCTGTCGGAATGCTTAAGGCAGCACACTGTATCCTTCGTCCCTACTTCCCATATCCCCTGTTTCCTTATGTCCGCGTCACCCATGTACCCCACCTCGGAAGAGGCGCACGTTGAGGCGGATGTCATCGGCGTTCTCCACCTCCTGCCGGAACAGCTCCGCCTGGCACTCCCAGTTCAGCTTCTTGCGGTTGCGCCGCTGCAAAGAGGGGAGGGGGGGCGCGGAACAGAGCATAGATTGGTGGGGAGCAGAGGTGGGCAGGAGAGGCTCTGTCAAGGCGCCTTGCTTCCGAGCAGCTGCTTGGAGAACAGCAGGTTGAGCTGCCAGTCTAGCGGAAATGATGTGCTGCCTCTCTTACGGACCCAAAAAGCACTCTCCATTCATCCTCCTACCACTCACCAGGCCCTCTCCACTCATGTTGAGCTGTTGAGGTCCCCACAGTAGGTGTAGCGTCCTTGAAGCACAGCATGTTGAGCTGCAGGTCCATGCGGAGATCGATTGCTCCTTCTCTTACAGACCCACCAAGAGCTCTCCATTTATCCCTCACCAGGCACTCCTGAATGCGCCCCTCGCCCGACTGCACGTCCCCACAGTAGGTGTCCGCGTCCTTGGAGCACAGCATGTTCAGCTGCGTGCCGGTCCATGCACGACCCAACCCAACAAGCACTCTCCATTCATCCTCCTACCAGACACCAGGCACTCTCCATTCCCTGCTACTCACCAGGCACTCCTGAATGCGCCCCTCGCCTGACTGCACGTCCCCACAGTAGGTATCCGCGTCCTTGGAGCACAGCATGTTCAGCTGCGGATCCATGCGGAAATCGTCTGCTGCATCCTCCTGCGCCTCGAACACCATTATGGCGCACTGGTCTGATACACGCCCTGATTCCTTGCTCTCCCTGACGTGGCAGCGAGTGAAACGGGGGTGATGGGATGGAAGAGTTTGAGTTGAATGGGGTCGAAGTCGTCTGCTGCGTCCTCCTGCACCTCGAACACCATTATAGCGCACTGGTCCGGCACCCGTCCCGACTCCTTGCTCTCACTGCCGAGGCAGATAGAGAATAACAAGGGAGAATGGGGCGAAATATTTTGAAGGGTCCTTTTACGAGTCACACACCATCGCTGCGCACCGGTGCGACACACGCTCCGACTCCTTGCTCTCACTGACGTGGCATGGAGGGGTTGGACAAACAATGAGCTGTTCGAATGCAGAAGGCAAGGAAGGTTCCTCTTTTATGCCTCGAACATCATTGCTGCACATGTATCTGACACACGGCCCAACAGACTCCTTGAGTTTGCTGACGTTATGTCAGGCACATGGCATTATGTCATGCACACATGCAGCTGAGCATCCATCCATCCATCCATCCATCCATCCATCCATCCATCCATCCATCCATCCATCCATCCATCCATCCATCCATCCATCCATCCATCCATCCATCCATCCATCCATCTATATCACACCCATATAGCATATCCATATCAAACCCATGCGTAAGCACAGGCATGCAAATGCATTGCTAGGCTTGAAGCAGAGAAATTATGAGGAAGTTATCATGACAGTACTCCCCAAAACGTGCCCTTATCCTCATAGCAGTACTTCATGGGGCGTTACATATTCCTTACCGCACCAACTTACCGCAGGCATGCGAGCACGTTGCCGGGCTCGGGGTAGAGAAAGTCGTCATCACAGAAGGATGCGATGTCCTCCTTGCACGCCTCCACTGGTGGGTGGGGACGGGGGGGAAGAAAAGGGCGAATGGGATAGGCGAGGGGGGAGTCACCACATACGAGATGAGAGGAGAGAGTGGCAAACAGGAATGCAGTGAGGAATCATCACAGAAGGATGCGATGTCCTCCTTGCACGCCTCCACTGGTGGGTGGGTGCAGCCGGGGAGGAGAACGGGGCGAACGGGGGAGTCGTGAGGCAGGAAAGGCAGTGGAAAGCGGTGCAATGCGCTTCTTGCATGCCTCCCTTCGTGCGTGCAACGCACACACATAGACACCATACTCCCCTCCCCCCCACCCACGCCCACGCACCCATCTCCTTGTTCATGCTGATGTACAACTCGATCTTGATGCTGCTGCCCTTCTGTTGCAGCATATGCAGCACACACAAGCACCTGCAGCACAAACATCCACTCACCCATCTCCCGACTCACCCATCACGCCCACCCCACCCACGCCCACGCACCCATCTCCTTGTTCATGCTGATGTCCTTGTACAGCGCAATCTTGAAGTTGCGGATCTCCAGCAAACACTCCGCGGAGAACTCGGGGTTCGCTGCAGGAGACGTGGGGTGTGGGTGATGCAAAGATCGTGCAAATGTTGATGCGATTGGTGATGAACATGGTTGTGCGTGCGACAGGTGATCCACATGGTTCGGCAAGTGGTGAGGCATATGATTTGTGCGCTGCGGTGCATGGATGGTGCAAACATGTGATTATGCGAACATATTCGGTGCGTGCATGTGAAATTAGCAACGCCATTCACCTCATGCCGTTCCCTCCCTCCGTCCTCCCAACCCCCTTCACCAAGCTATTACCTTTCCCTTTCCCGTTATGCCCTCCCCCACCCTCGCCAAGCGTCTCACCTTTTACTTTCCCCGCCATCACCATCTTGACCTGTGTGCTCAAACACCGCTCCAGAGAGCGGTTGCCTGTGGGTAGGTCCGAACAGTAGGCTGTTATTTCCGCCGTACACGCCCCTGCACGGGTCATATGGGCGCGCGCGCACACACACACACACACACACACACACACACACACACACACACACACACACACACACACACACACACACACACATTTGCCTTTTGAGAACCCTCTGATCAAGCTCTCCAGAGTGGCGCTGCTTGTGGGTAGGCTTGCGCAGTGAGCTGCCAATTCCTCCTGTCTTTACACGCCCCTGCGGAAGAGTGTGGAGGGAAGGGAAAAAAATGGAGGAAAGGAAGGGCTTTCTTATCCTTCTTATGTCACACTGCTCTTCCCTCCAATCCCCCCTTCCCCGCTGCCACACCCACCTTGAGGCGCATGGCCGCCCGCCTCCCTCTCCGCCTTGACCACGGACTCGTCCGCTGCTGCTGACTTACTTAAATGGCCGTTCCGCCTGACTGCCCCTCTCCCCACTCCAAAACTCGACTCTCCCACACAATGCCTTCCAAACAGACCCTATCCCACCCACCCACCTTGAGGCACGATATCGCCTGCTTCCTTCTCTGCTTTAACCACGGGGCCGTCGGCTGCTGGCTGCGTGGTGTTGGCCTTGTCCGCTGCCTGCACGCTCGCATGCCGCGCCAGCAGCACACCCACCCACCTTGCAGCACACCCACCCAACTTGCAGGACACCCACGCACCTTGCAGCGCACCCACGCACCTTGAGGCACGATATCGCCCGCCTCCTTCTCTGCTTTGACCACGGGGTCGTCGGCTGCTGGCTGCGTCGCGTTGACCTTGTCCGCTGCCTGTACGCACGCATGCCGCTCCAGCAGCACACCCACTTACCTTGCTTCACACACACCCACCCACCCACCTTGGGGCACGATATCGCCTGCTTCCTTCTCTGCTTTGACCACGGGGTCGTCCGCTGCTGGCTGAGTGGCGTTCGCCTTGTCCGCTGCCTGTACGCATGTATGCCGCGCGAGCAGCACCGCCAGCAGCAGCAGAAGGGGACGGAAGGAACTACGCCAATGTGTAGCCATGGTTGCTGCTGAAAGGAGAACCGGGAGAGTGCGAGGGGGCAGAGAGGAAGGGAGAAGTAGAGGAAAAGTCGTTCAAGTAGAGGAAACCGCACTGGATGCAGGCAAGAAGAGAATAGCACAGAAAAGGGGTGGTAAGGTAAGGGGTCTTCGGTACGAGCGCAAGCGATTTATTTTCCGTTGCTCCTCGCCAGGTATTCGACACGACGCCAGATTTCAGCGCATCGGCCATCGACCTTGAGACCCAGCTACATCGGAGTTCAAGACCCAGCTAAATAAGAATCATTTTCATAGTTACTATTCAGTCACGAACCCAAGAGCTCTCAGTTTGCAGCCAGATTCCCCTGCTTATTCGGCTGGCGAAGTGCAGTGCGGTTAGAAAGGAGGTGACTTGAGTGCACTGCCTGTTCGAACGTCACGTAAACCGTGCGCGCGAATGTCTTGTGCACTCGGTTTGATTCGCTGCTTACGGGCAAGTCACTAGCTAGGCTAACGGGAATAAGAAACCATGGCGGGTCGAACGGATCTTACGATACTCTAAGCTGCGAGGCTGGTGAACTGTTGCCGAATCTCAGAAAATGGTTGGAAATAGAATGAAGTGAAGGTAGAGACTCGATGGTCGGGACGGTGAATAACACGAATTGGATCGTGCTCTCGATAGGGACTGCTGAACGGCGTGGTTTGAATTTAAGACAGCAATCTCATTCTTGCTCTTCATGAAACAAGTTCTCCTCTTTCAATAAATAATTCGCGTCCGGGTGAATTATCGGCGTAACACGTCGTTTCTCCTCATCCCAAGGAGGGGTAACTGATGAACTCCGCGTATAGCTGACTGACACTAATCTATTTTCCACTCCAGATAGAGATCATGTCGGCGTCACGCACTCACCTTGCAATAGCGCCGCGAGGCTCGCAACAGCGGACCAGGTTAAACTCTAAGAAGGCTGGCAAGCCGTCCTCGTGGAACCTTTTAGGCACCTGGCTGAGGGTGCACAAGTCTTGTGTTTCCAGGCTTGCTGTTGTTTGGTGAAATCTAGGTTTGCTGGTGATGCAACTTCTAAATGGCAGCAGAAGATCAAGTGGCGCAGACCACAAGGTAGTGTGCGCTAATAGCTGCTCCGTTCCCTAGTAGCTGAGAAAGATACATGCTGATTGATTTGTTTCGGAAAGTGCGTTCTACAGGTATCAGCGGTCAGAATCTGCTGGGGGTCAAGCCTCACGCATTTTGAAGCGCACATAGATTCAACGCCCAACCTATTTTGAGGCTCGTCCGAACACGCCCTTTTAGACCCTAGTCTAAGTTGTCTTTCCGCCAATCATAGCTGAGCTCTGACGCACCTCGGCCAACTCTTTGTAGGCTGTCGCAATATTTGTCCTAAAATTTGGAATCTGGTACTTCGAGTGTTTAGCAACTCTCCTAATACTGGTGGGCCCCTTACCAGAAGTCACACGAGAATTATAAATATTCAACTCAATTATATGTCAAATTGTACCTATTCTTCATATATTTACCATCCATGCTGGTGTAGTGCACCTGCCTATAGCAACTATCACACAAAGCTGGTATATTCTGATGTCACATCATATGACCAATAATCCCAAAGTGCACATAAACAAAACACCAGCTAAACTAATGTGTATGCTTGTGGAGTGGACAGAAAATGACCAGACAGACATGTATGTAGCTTAAGAAGGGATATCCAGCTGCACTTGTCAAGTAAACAATATTCTAAGGAAGGTGGGGAGGCACTAGTAGATCATTTAGGGAGATTTTGGGCTGTTCTTCATACATCCCATTTACTGAAAATGGAATCCTGACATTCAAAAGATGATGAGGGGAGGGTAAGTGCCCAAATTTTTGGAATGACAGCAGTATCGATCGAGGGCAGAAAGCAAGGTCAGTAGCAATAGAACAAATCAGGGACAGCTGAAGCATCACTCACTTATGGTCGGTATCGAGGAGGAAGGCATCATTGTCATAACGAGCAACCTCTTTCTTGCACTTCTCATGAATGGCATCCATCATAGCACCCGTCACAAAGGTGGCACTGTGATAGCTGGCGGGGATCATGCCACCGATGCGGTAGAGATGTTTCATGCTTAAAGCAGGGAACTGCACATGAATTTCTTCCAGTGTCATCTCAGATTTTTCAGGAAGGACCTGTTAGTTGGAACAGGTCGGGGCACGAGAGGGTTGGTACAATACGGAATGGACAGCAAAAACATGGTTGAAGGACAAAAAAAGCGAGGGATACCATGCAAAGTCTAAGGTGAAAGAAGGAATGCCTCCCAAGCAGCATCCACAACGGTGGCAGGTGATAGGGAAGCAGAGAGTGGCAGCGATTGGCAGGTACGATAAACTCCACAGCATGCCTGATGTGCTGCAGCTGGTCCCATGCGCCTCCTGCATACACCTCAGTGGCGGCAGCGGTCCACCGCTGCAGCTCTGTCAACCCCTCTTTGAAATACGCGTCGACGAAATGTAAGTTGCAGCAGTGACGATAAAGCAAAACACTGGAAAGATCAGGAGCAGCAACAAGCCCGAATCAAAAGAGGGAGGGGGGATGGGGGGGATTGAGAGAGACACTAAGGAATTGTGGATGGGGGGAAGTTGGATTTTACAGCATGGGTTTGGTTAAAGAGAGGCCAACAGAGAGAGATGTCAAAGGAGATAACGGAATGCCAGATGTTGGTTCCATACATGGGTATGCAAGAAGCTAAACAAGCGCACTTAAACTGTAAACAGCTTTAAATGTATGCAGCGCAAGCAGCTTCAACTCAAAGGCAGCCAGAATCGCAAGCACCTTGATTTCTCGAGCAGCCAGAATAAGCAAGCAGCCATATTTTGCAGCGAGATACTACAACTGACCGGTTAAAGAGCTCGGCATTGACGAGTGCATAGATCTGTCGGAAGAGGCTCCTGATGAGGAAAGCAGGCACGTGGTTGAGCTTCAGAAAGTTGAGCATATCTGAGAGCTTCATGGTTATAAGGTTCCACCGTGCTTCTGCTGCTGGTATTGAGATCGCCTGGCTTTGTGCTGCTGCTCGCAGGTTTTGCTGATTTGAACTCCTAAGAATACGAGTACTGGCCTGAAGAGGTGAGCATGGGAAGCCAATAGAAAGACAATAAAGATGGGAAGATCGTATAAAGCATAAATTTCCTCCCCCCTTCCCATACAAACATGCACATACACATCCACACGCACACATGCACGCATGCATTCACAAACAACAGCCAAACACATATCCACACAGATACATACACATCCACACACACACACACACAAACACACACACACACAGACACACACACACACACAAAACGCGCATCAACACACTCTTACAACAGTATGCATACCCATACCTCGTAGCCGGCAACCAGTATCGGTGAAACGTCGTTCCTGAGATTGTCTACGAAGAACAGATACACCTTTTCCACGTACGCTGCTAGCTCTTTCCCGAATAGCAGAGCTGGAAACGTGGGTTTTACCAGCTGCACCCCATCAGCCTTCGCTGCAGCTATCTCGTCCTCAGATGGGACAGTTGGGCTGAAAATTTCCTGCAAGAAAGTAAAGATTGAGGTGTTTGACGAACACTTGATTAAGGCAAGCCAATCGAGGGGTTGCTATCAGGAAGAGTGGGATCAGAGTTAGCGTATTGATGGAAATACACTGAGCGACAATGATGTCCCTATCTTCGCTCAACTTAATATACCGTCCCAACACCCAATCCCCTGAATTTCCTCTCCTTTGCAAATGGCACCTGATGCAAGGGAGAAAAAAAAACGTTCACAAATTGATGCCGCTTCCTCTGCACACATACCTTCCGAAATGCCGCCATTTCCCGTGGAACTTTATCAGTCTTGAAAGATGTCATGAGCAGAAGCAGCAGAGAAGCTGCGTTCGTCAGCCAATACGCCAGCTTGTCAATACTCCCCACTGCATCTTCATCTTCTCCGGCACCAAATCTCGCAGCCTCAGGCTGAGCGTCAGGAGCCACGCCGACATCCGCACCAGGAGCAGCAGATGGATCCTGAGCGCCAATGGCGGCCCTCATGATCCCAATAATCTTGTCAAACACATCTGTAGACTCGGTTTCGAAGGAGCGCCAGTGCACGAGAGCATTGTACATCACACATGCTAAAACAGGCAGTTCGCCGTCAAACCCAAGATCCGTCTGGAGCAGCTGCAGCAGTCTGTCTTGATCCAGCCGGGAGTCGAGGGGCTGAGACATGAGACAAGGGGGTAGATACAGATGGGTGGAGAGATCTAGGGATGAGAGGAGTGGGAAAACGGAAGGCGATGCAGCTGAAACAGATGGGAGGTAATCGGAGTAAATATAGGACAGTTAGTGGAAAAAAAAACAAGCAATAGTCCGCTTATTTGTAAGCTCACCTGCACTTCCTCAGTTACAGTGTCCCTTCTCGGTACTTCACTTGCCGCACCACGAGCAGGGCCGCGAGGGATGGCAGGAGAGGCAGGGCTGCAAACTACGACTTTAGCATCGATAACGTCGTCTGACAAGCGCGATCCTCTTGACGAGGATTGCAGACGCTGCTTCCTCCTCTCAAGCAACTCTGCCATCATTTTTTCTTTTATCTCCTGCAGCTCGTCCGCTGGCAAGCGGCGTACCAAAGCGGAATCCAGTAAGTCAAAGAACGTAGACAGTTCTCCATCGTGGGCATCCATTTTTTGCTGCTGCAAACACCCGAAAGTGTAACTTCACGACTTACGATGAGAGATCTACCGCTCTGGAGTGGCGAAGTGTTATCTACTAGATTGTGTGGAGAACTTGGGACAGTCTCCAGGACTTTGAGCGATTGTCCGCGACCTTCTTCGCATTTTGAGAGGTTCTCCCATTAGATCTGAATAGCCAATAAGTGGTGTTCTAGGAATCTGCTATGCCCTTGGGAACCTTTCGAAGGGCCAGGTGTCCAAGCTGTAGAGAGATTGCGGCATTGCTTGGAAACAAATTACATGTTGTGCGTCAAGCTATCTAGGGGAACGCGGGGAGGAGGATGAGAGGGACAAGCGCTGGCGATTGTTTGCATAATATGGAAGGGGGAACAACCTAGGTTGCAGCTGCGTGACTAGTCTCGTCACCAACGGTGAAATCTCAAGAACATAGCTGCCTAGATTTCAAGATGGAAAGATCCCAAGGCGCTGACGCGTTAGAAGCATACCTTCAATTTCGATTGCTGCAAACGGGTGCTTGAGTTGAGGTACTGTATGCATATCTGCGTCCATTTGTGGTTCCGAGTTTTCATTTTTGTGGGTGCAGCTGGTAGGGTGGGTCCCTAGTTTCTACGTCACGAGGTAACCAACTCGAAAAGTGATTCGTGCGGGGGACACACCTCTGTTCATTTTCCCTGACTTTCCATGGACCCATAGGCGAAGCAGACGATTCATCGCCAAAATCGTGATTCCTGTCGTCCATATCGGTGGGGATATTCTTCGACACATTGACTCGCAAATTCGCGAGGTGTAGGTTCGCGAATCCTTGCTTGCAGCACGAACACGTACATTCCATTGTCAGAAATCGTGAGAAACCCCTACTCTCAGCTCATACCTCGCTTCCTACTAATTGGAGCAAGGAGCTGACAGATTCCTGGGCTCAGTTTCTCGTGTCTTTGCATCGTCTTCCGCCGTATCCAATTTGTTAATAGAAAGTGGGAAGTCATCGTGCCTGATGGGAAGAGTGGCGTTTGACGACTCAAAAGCGCAGAGAATGGGGGAGGCTTCTCCCGCGGAGTCCGCGCCTGCGCGGTGCGCTCCTTCCGCTGGCCCCAGCGCGCCACCCGACGGGGCTGGGCCCCGCGCGGCGATGGCGGAATCCGCGGAAGACCTGGCGGACCTGCTCATTCAGGTCCGCCGAAGCGTCCTTTATTACGTTGTTCGAATATCTAGCGAATGTCACGCGCACCCACCTCCCCCTCCTCTCGCGCATCTCTCCACTTCGTGTACCCCTCGTCTCCCCGCCCCCGCACGCTACCCCACTGTTTGCCCCCATCCTGCCCGATTTTTGTAACCCGCTCTTTCGGTGCCCGTATTCCCCCTTCTCCCCTCGTCCCCCTGGCATTGCGTATGTCTCCCCCCATATGTCACTTCCCAGCTCCCCACTTCCCGCTCTCTCCACCGTGTCTTCCCCTTGTCTCCCCTCAATCTCCCCGCGATTTCCTCCTCCCCTCCCCTCTCTCCCCCACCCCCTCAACGTACAGTGCGCGCGGTACGGGGACATGGAGGACGTGGCAGCAGCGCTGGACGGCGGGGCTGATGCTGGCGTGGCGGACGATGAGGGGCGCACAGGTGAGGCGGGGGAGTGTGGGTGGGGGGATGAGGGGCGCACAGGTGAGGCGGGGGAGTGTGGGTGGGGGGATGAGGGGCGCACAGGTGAGGCGGGGGAGTGTGGGTGGGGGGATGAGGGGCGCACAGGTGAGGCGGGGGAGTGTGGATGGGGGGATGAGGGGCGCACAGGTGAGGCGGGGGAGTGTGGGTGGGGGGATGAGGGGCGTACAGGTGGGGGAGGAGGGATGAGGGGCGCACAGGTTGGGGGGTGGAGTGAGGGGCGCATAGATTGGGGGGGGCGGATGAGGGGCGCACAGGTGGGGGATGGGGGATAATGGGAGGAGCACAAATGGGGGTGGGGGGGCACACTTTGGAGGGCATGACGGGCGCACAGGTGGGGGAGGGGAGATAATGGGGGGCGCACAGCTCGGAAGGTGGGGTGAGCGGCGCACAGGGAGGAGATGAGGAGCGCACAGGTGGTGGGGCGATGAGGAGCGCACAGGTGGTGGGTGAATGAGGGGCACGCAGACGGGGGAGGGGATGAGGGGCGCGCAGGTGTGGCTTAAGGTTGCACGCACGTGCTAAAAGGGGTTTTTAAGGTTTGGGTGCTTAAAGCCAAGGGCCAAAGCTGGGTGCGTAGATTTGAAATTCCCCCCACCCATATCCCCCACCTTGCATCTTCCGTTTTCTTCACAGTGTGCCATGCGCACGTTCAGCGCTGCACATGTTGTAACCTCTTTCCCCCACCCCCTCCCTGTGCCATGCGTGCATACATGGCATAACCCTTTCCCACACCCCCTCCCTGTGCCACGCATGAATGCATGTGTGCATCACTGCACATGGCATAACCCCTTCTCTGCACCCCCTTCCTCTGACATGTGTGCATGTATGCATGCAGCGCTGCACATGGCAGCAGCCAATGGCCACACAGAGATCGCTCGCCTGCTCATCCAACGAGGGGCTGTGAGTGTCTTCCCTTCCACTGCCCCCTCCTCCTTGGCCCTCCCCCCTTGGCCCTCCCCCCTTGGCCCTCCCCCCTTGGCCCTCCCCCCTTGGCCCTCCCCCCTTGGCCCACCCCACCCCCCCAATACCCACTTCCCTGCTGATCCAACAAGGCTCGGTGAGCTCCCCTTGCTGCGCTGCTCCCCCCGGCTGTCCACCAATCCTGCTGCAATGGCTGCTAATGCCCCTCCCTCCCTGCTGTCCCTTCCTTCTGCCTCTAATCCATGTGAGCCGCGTGCCCCTCCCGTCTATGCTCCTTCCCATCCCACGCTGTACCCTGTACACCATGCGCCCCTTGCTCGTGCAACCCTTGAACCCGGGCCCCTTGTCTCTCAGCCAGTGAATGCAGTGAACCGGCAGGGCAACACACCGCTGCACTGGGCGGCTGTTAATGGCAGGGACTCGGTGAGTGCAGGGCGGGAAGGGGCAGGTGGGTGCAGGGGCAGATGGAGGGGGAAGCAAGGGAAACCCTTTGTATTCTGTGCGCCGACTGCAGTGAAGCCTGCTCCTTGTGTTTCCATGGTCCATGCATCATCACCAATGCACATGAGGTGCCGCTCGTCCTTTCCCCTGGCCCAGACACCCCACTTGCCAACCCCATCACGTGGTGCATTTGCTCATTTCCGCAGGAGCCAGCCCTTCCGCCTCTTGCCCTTGCTCATTTAGTTGCCTCAACATACCCCTCACAACCCCACACATGCACACCGCCCCACACTACCCCGCCCCACCTCACCTCTTGCCAATTCCATCCGATGGTGCATCTGCTCGTCGCTCCCACCTCTTAGCCATTCGACCTCAGAATGGCCCTCACAATCCCCACACGCAACCCATCCCACCCCACCCCACCGCTTCCCAACCCCTCACCCCTCTCCATCCCATCAGATGGTGCATTTGCTCATCACTGCTGGAGCCAACCCCTCCGCCCTCAACAGGTAACCCCCTCACTCTCCTCACACCTCCCCGCCTCCTACTCACCCCGACTGCTGCTAGCTACAGCCAATGCTGCTTTCTGCTACCCATCCCCAGTCGCTGTAACCATGCAGTCGTCTTGTGGTGAGCACGCGCAGAACATGACAGCCCTCCCACCTGCCGTTTTTGTTTTGTTTTTTGTTTGTTTGTTTGTTTGTTTTTTTCTTTTTTGTAACTCCCCCATCTTCATTTCTATCCCCTTAACCTGCCTTCCCTTAAACTTCATTCCCATCCATCCAGCCATGAGCGAATGCCAGTGGATGAGGCGATTCACAGTAACAACCAGCTCACCTTAGACGCCATCATTGCTTCCCCCCCCACATGCCCTTCTGAACTTTGTGTTTTCACCTTCCCCCACAACTCCCATCCCCGATTCCCAGCCACGAGCGCACCCCAGGGACGAGGCAATTCACAGCAACAATCGGCACACCCTAGGCGCTATTCCCGCCGCCCCTTGCAACTTCCCTTCTCACCTTTGTGTTATCACCTCTCCCACAACCTGCATCTCTTATTTCCAGCCACGAGCGCACGCCAGTGGATGAGGCGATTCACAGCAACAACCAGCTCACCCTAGACGCCATCAACACTGCCGTTGCCACGCGGGATGCTGCGAGCTTGACTGTCGCGGGCAGCCACGGCGACGACACAGGGGGCGATGGCGATGGGGGAGATGAAGCCACGAATATCATGGCGTGAAGGGTTGTGTCTCTTTAAAAGTTGGTGAGTCAACTGAAAAATCAGCACACCCCAGACGCCATCAATGTCTGCCTTGCCCCTTGGGATGCTCGGAGCTTGGCTGTAGCAGGCAGTCAAGGGGGTGACCTGGAGGGCACTGGGGATGGCGGAGGTGCAGGCAGCAGATATTATGGAGCGATGCTTTTTGGGGGAAAGTATTGAGGGGCTGATTGAAAGGTTAGCACATTTTAGATGCTACGTACTCGGGATGCTCGGAGCTTGACTTTAGCAGGCAGTCAAGGGGATGACACAGGGGACGATGTGGATGGGGGAGGCGGAGCAGCGGAGGTTACGGAATGAATGGGTTTCCATTGGAGTTTCTTCTTGGCAGCTCAGAGCTTGGAGCAGAGAGGATCTGAAGCTGATGCGGTGAAGCAGGTGCATGGCAAGCAGGAGGCTCTCTGCCCTGGCCAGTAAAAAGGCTGTTGTTGCCTGCTGACACCTGCTGCTACCGCATGTCTGGTGTTTTGAGGTTGAGATGTGCATTTCACAACTGTACAGGCAATGATTTTATTTGTCAGCTCAGCGCATGCACCTGGGTTTGGCTTCCCTAATGCCATAAATGCAAGCATTTCAACCTCCACCTTGTCTACTTCAGTCAAATGTGACAAAACTCGTGATCACAGCTGTCTAGGTGTCTCAGAAGGCACATTTCCAAACAGAACATAAAGTAGCGTATTTGATTCTGAAAGAAACACACTACAACACATTATGTACTATGCGACCCTAACACTCTTACAATGCCTCCTCTTGACTCTCCATGCTTATGCAGGGAGAGATGTAAAAAGATTTTTTTGTGCACTGGAGTGGATGCTATGCTACACTACAGCTTTGCCATTCTTCAGCTTCTTTCCACAGGCACCATCAGCAGTACTCTCCAACTTCCTCCCTCCCCTTCCCTCCTGCTGCGGAGGCTCCTGCAGCATTAAAACCCTCAACAGGTGGTGTTGCTGCTGCAGCAGCAGCAGAAGCTGTGGCAGCAGCAGAAGCTGTGGCAGCAGCAGAAGCTGTGGCAGCAGCAGAAGCTGTGGCAGCAGCAGAAGCTGTGGCAGCAGCAGAAGCTGTGGCAGCAGCAGAAGCTGTGGCTGCAGCAGAAGCTGTGGCAGCAGCCTGATGCCCCTTCACGAGCTGGTTGATTCGCTTGAACTGACATGGCCATGCCATGTTGTACAGGAACCCTCATGACTGTCAGTGGCACTATTGATGAAGGGCGACTGGCGTGCCCTCAACTGCAGCAGCAGCAGCGCCTGTAGCCGCTGCGGCCTCATGCTCGGCCACGAGTTGGTCAATGCGTCTGAACTGCCACGGCCATGATCACTCACATCGCAGCTCCCGCTGCGTTAGAGCCCTCACTTGAAAGTGTTGCAGCACCTGCTCCCGCCGCGGCCTCATGCTCCGCCACCAGCTGGTCGATCTGTTTGAACTGCCACGGCCATGCCACGTTGTACAGGAACTGGCGCAGGTCAAACCGGTTGTCCTCCGGAGAGTAGTTCTGGAAAGAAGGAGGGGGAGGGGAGGGACGTGAGGATCAGGTGGGGGGTTGGGGGGGGGTGGGGTGGGGCAGAGGGTAAGAAACAAGGGATGATGGGGATGTGAGCATCTTATGTTGCACATGACCTGCTACAGGTGTAAGCGGTTGCCCCCCAGGAACTCTGCAATGGGGGTGGGGGGTAGAAGGGGGAGTGACAGGAGTTGCAGGGAAGGGAATGCGAGGGGAAGGGGGGTGCCAGAGGGATGCCTCGTCTGACAAGAACACAAACGTTTTACTCGACTCATTAGCACACAGTTGAGGGTCTACGGTAGGAGAGAGTGGGCAGAGTGAGAGTGGTAGGAGGGAGAGGTAATGATGGGGGGGGAGCGAGAGTGGTAGAAAAAAAAGGAGGGGGTGAGAAAGTGAGCCGAGTGAATGGTTACCTCAGCATGGTAGGAGGGCGTGAGAGTGGTCATCTTGTGACGGTTGATGGAGTAGAAGCGGAAGAACGCCTTCACCTTCCCTGCCACCTCCGCTACTGTCAGCCGCTGCCGCCACTCATGGCACAGATGCTGCGAGGGGGTGTGGAGGGAAGGAAGGAAAGGGGTTGAGGGTAGCAAGTGGCGTAATCACGCCATCGGGAGGGAGTGAGGGTAGGAGCGGGTGGGGGTGGTCATCTTGTGGCCGTTGACGGAGTAGAAGCGGAAAAACGCCTTCACCTTCGCTGCCACCTCCGCTACTGTCAGCCGCTGCCGCCACTCGTGGCACAGATGCTGCGAGGGGGGAGGGACGGAGAGAGGTGATAATTATGAGGGCAGAGGATTGGCGATATCACAAGAGAGAGACTTTTGAGGGACCTCACGAGCGGGAAGGAGTGAGGGTGGTCAGCTTGTGACAGCCGGAGGAATACAAGCAAGGGCCGGTGAGTGCAGCAACATGGTTGTTGTACCTTGCTTGCCTTGTTCATGGAACTCCATCCATCCCCTCTTCCTCCTTCCCCCCAACCCTCTCCTTTCCTCTCTTACTCCTTGGTGCACGATGTAGCAAACGTTGTTCACAAGGCCTCTCCTTAAATCTAATCCCTTTCCTCCCCTCCCATCTAATCCCTTCCTCCTTACTTTCTGACAGCGTGCACGATGTAATGCACGTTGATCATGAGGACGAGCTGTGTGAGGCACCTCGTTGCGGCACAGCTTGCACCGTTAACCTCCCTCCTTACCTTCTCTCCCCTCAACCCATCAACTTGTTGGTTTTTTGAGAATCCTGAAAAACCAACTTGTAAGCAGGCCAGTGCAACGACAAGAGCGCTAAGTGCTCGAGCAGAAGTGGCAGAATAATAGCACGTGGAGCATGGCGCAGATAGCATAGCACATGGCACATGATCGCAAATAGCAGCAACAATGTCTACCGATACGCACCTGGAACATGGCAACAGGGCCGCAGCGCAGGACCTTGCGCAGGCGGCCATAGAGGGAGAGCTCCTCGTAGGTCATGCCCATGTCCACCTCGTCCACCTGTGCGGTGTGGGATGGCATGGCATGGCACGAGAATGCACGGCATGGTATTTGATGGCATGGCATGGGATGGCATGGGATGGCATGGGATCGCATGGCATGACATGACATGGCATGATTGCAAGGCACGGGATGACTTGGGATCATATGAGAAGGTGCCATCAGCATGTCATCATGTCCATCTGCACTCTTCACTCTCTATTGCATTCCATTATAACCTCCTCTCCTCTGAACAGTGCCATCACTGGCCCAAATACACATAGTCCTCTCTGATTGGCCCACCTGCACGTAATCCGCTCTGATTGGCCCACCTCCACGTTGTCTGCTCTGATTGGCCCACCTGCACGTAATCCGCTCTGATTGGCTCCAGCTCAGCGGTGGGCGGCGCGGCCTCGACGTCGGCCAATGAGGCGAAGCCAAGGTGGACTGCCGCCCAGCGCAGGAAGCGGCGAAGGTCCGTCTTGCTAATTCCACCAATGGGGTTGATGTCTGCACTGCTGCAGTCGTACTGATATGGATGGTGGTGGGGGGAGAGGAGGGTGGGAAAGGGGGAGTAAGAAAGGAGGGAGGCATTAAGTATGGGAAGCAGCGAAGGTCCGTTTTGGTGATGTGGTGATGGGGTTGATGTCTGCACTGCTGCAGCCGTACTGGTGAGAAGGGAAGCAGGAAGTGGGGTGGAAAAGAAGGGGATGGGAGAGTGGGAGTGTTGAGGCGAACCCAAGGGGGACTGCCGCCGAAGAAGCGGCGGTGGTCCGTCTTGCTGATGTCCCCAATGGGGTCGATATTGGCACTGCTCCAATCGTTATGGCGGGAACAGGGGGAGGGGGGGGTCGTAAAGAAGGGGAGTTTTTTAGAATTCTCAAAAACACCCTGCAGCATCAGGGACCGGGAGCGTTGAGATGAAGCCACGGTGGACTGTCTTACAGCACCGAGGTGAGGCAAGTGAGACAAACCCCTCTCCCTCTCCCTCTCCCTCTCCCTCTCCCTCTCCCTCTCCCTCTCCCTCTCCCTCTCCCTCTCCCTCTCCCTCTCCCTCTCCCTCTCCCTCTCCCTCTCCCTCTCCCTCTCCCTCTCCCTCTCCCTCTCCCTCTCCCTCTCCCTCTCCCTCTCCCTCTCCCTCTCCCTCTCCCTCTCCCTCTCCCTCTCCCTCTCCCTCTCCCTCTCCCTCTCCCTCTCCCTCTCCCTCTCCCTCTCCCTCTCCCTCTCCCTCTCCCTCTAGCATCAGCAACACCACCAACAGTAGCAGCAATAATGGCAGCAGTTGCAACAACAACACTGGCAGCAGCAACAGCAGGAGCAGCAGCGACAACACCTGCAACAGCTGCTCCTGTTGAGGGCGTTGCAGGTGTCGCTGCTGCTCCTGCTGTTGCTGTTACCAGTGTTGTTGGTGAGAGAAGAGGGGATGGAACGAAGGATGGATGGAGTACAGGGAGGGCTGTTGAGGCGACTTTTGAGAATTCTCAAAAGTCACTCGAACATAGCTGAACTGGACTGCTGCAGCGCAGAAAGGGAGGGAGGCCCGTCTTGCTGATGCCTCTGATGGGGTTGATGTCGTCACTGCTGCAGTCGTACCGGTGCGAAAGGGGGAGCGAAGTGCTTGTGTGTGAGAACTGTAATCAAAGGGGAGGCAAGTTGGGGTGTGGTGAGGCCCGAAAACGTCGTTTGAGAATTCTTAAAAGGGATCTATCTATCTTACTGATGCCGGCTATATTGAAATCACTTTTGAGAATTCTCAAAAGTGTGATAAGTCGATTCTTGAGTCGACTCAAAGAACTATCTTGCTGATGCCGCCGATGGGGTTGATGTCGGCACTGCTGCAGTCGTACCGGTGGGAAAGGGGGAAATAGTGACCCGTTGGGAGTGAGTGGGGATAGGTGTCGGAGAACAACCTCCCCCCGGCACGTCAGGAAAATCGTTTTCTGATGCCTCCAGTATGATTGATATCAGCAACTATTTATGCGGTACTGAGGAGAGGAGAGTGAGCAACGGGGAGAGTGAGCAACGGGGAGAGAAGGAAGGAACGGATGGATGTTGGTCTTGAGGTAGACTTGGCTCAACAGCAATAAGTGTGACACGCAATGTTTCCTTGGAGAGCACACCTTGGTATGACAGCCCCTCAGCCCCTCGCCCACGTTGGCACTGTCCAGCACGATTGGTTGGTTGATATACATACCTGTGGGAACCAGCAGTGCTCGCTCTGTGTCACCCTCAGCGCAACAAAATTTAATACCACCATGCTCCCTCTGGAACCAGCAGTGCTTGCTCTGTCTCACCCTCACCGCAACGACTGTGATACCACCATGCTCCCTCTGGAAGCACACCTTAGGGAGGTAGCCTCTCAGAGCCTCGTCCACATTGGCACTGGCCAGCACGAGTGGTTGGTTGATATCCCTGTAGGCACCAGCAGTGCTCGCTCTATCTCATGCACACCTTAACGACCAACGCACTCTGTGAAAGCCCCTTAACACCTCACCTTGGTGAGGTACCCTCTCAGAGCCTCGTCCACGTTTGCACTGCCCAGCACGAGCAGTCGGATGGATAGTGCATCAGAGATGACTTATCAGTGATGACTGTGATACGCCATGCTCCCCCTTAATGCACACCTTAGTGAGGTATCCCCTCAGAGCCTCATCCACGTTGGCACTGCCCAGCACGAGCAGAAAGCCCCCTCCGCCCCCCCGCTGCTCTGACCCGCCTCCCCTCCCCTTGCTCCTCTCCAGCACCCCTCCCACTGGCACCTTCTCTTCACCCCCTCCCCTTCCTCCTCCCTCCCCTCCCCTTTGCTGTCCGTCAGCTGTGCCCTCCTTCCGCCCCTCCTCTTTCCCCTTCTCCCCCGCCTGCTCTCCCCCTCCTCCCCCTCCTCTGCCGTGTCCGCGCACCCAGGGCAGCAGCTGCGCGAAGAGGAAGGCGAGCACCATGCGCAGGCGCGCCTGAATGTTCTGCAGGGCCAAGTTCTCCGCGGATGTGCCTCCGTCCAGCTGATGGGACGGGTGGTTGGTGGCGGAGGAGGCAAGAGCAAGATGGGAGGGTACGGGATGTGAGGAGAGGAAGGCGGGCGAGCAACATGCGCAGGCGCGCTTGGATGTTCTGCAATGCCAGGTTCTCTGTTGATGTGCCTCCATCCAGCTGATGGGACGGGGGTGGGGAGAAGCGGGAGGGATGGATGGGATTGCAGAGATGAGGACGGGGCTTGATTGTTAGCAGAAGGAGGATTTTTGCGATGTGGGGAGGGCTGCGGTTGCTCAATGCTCAGTGGTGTTGCAAGGAGCCGGACTGCCTAGCTTGACTAACACCATGGAATCTATCTGCCACAAAATCATATCCGCCTTGAATCACAAGCGTTTGTCCTGCAAGATGAGAAGGTGAGAGGGTGCAAATGAACCACCCCACCTTGTATCGCGGGCGCAGGCCAGTGACAGTGAGGAAGAGGGCAACAACAGCAGCGACCACGGAGTCAATACTTGTGTCCAAGTGCCATGCTCCTATCTCCGATGCTAGCTTCTTAGCTCGCGATCGCGTGGCCTGGGAGCTGTGTGCATAGGGCGAGGGCATCAAAGGGAGATAGGTGGGAGGTGAGAGGGAGGAGATCAAAGGGGCGGGAAAGGGGGGAGCACACAGGGCTACTTGGCACCCATAGAGCAGGTATTGACCTGCTCATACTGTCCAAATGACAAATGCTTGAGGATACATAGAGGCTATTGGAGCCTCGTTTTTAGACAATGGGTGTGGCACTAATGGGAATATAATGGGTGTGGTGTAGGCACTAGCCCTTAGTCAGCGTGCACGCAAATGGTATTCATGAGAACACGGGGGGTAGGAAGCTAGCTACAGACCTGTTCTCCATGCCCATGTAGATGGTCGGCAGGATGCGATCTGCCAGCCTGGCAGCATGCCGAGATTTGAGGCGCCTTGAAAGTAAAACACATTGAGGTACCTAAAGATATGTACGGACCTGTTCTCCGTGCCCATGTAGATGGTGTTCAGGATGCGATCTGCCAGCCTGGCAGCCTGTCGCTTCTGCTCTTCTGCCGCCGCCCCTGCCGCCAGCTGTAGCCCCATGATTCGCTCTGCATCCTGCTGCACCTGCTCGTCGCCCTCTGCTATGGCTGTGAGCAGGAATCACAGGTGAACACAAGGAGAGGGAGTGGAAGCAGAAGGATGGGGTGGGGTGGGGGCCAGGGGGGGTGCAGTGGGCGGCAGGGAGGGCAAGGGCGTGACTGTGGCTCGCTCTGAGTTGTGTTGCATGCACCTACACGTTTCCCCCTCCTGCCTATCATCACCAGCTGGCACATGCGCTTCCCCCTCCTGCCTATCATCACCAGCTGGCACATGCGCCTTACTGTGCGACCATGGATGACCTGTCAGCAGCACCAGATAGAAGCATCACTATTGACACCCGAAAGCAACCCACAGCACCACAATGCACCGCATCACACCTTTAACGACCGGCTGGCACATGCAGCCCACAATAGCGGCCACAGAGGAGCTGTCAGCGCCGCCAGACAGTGGCAACAGGAAGCCCGATGCCCCGCTGCGCCTGAAGTAGTCTCACAGCCAACACGCCATAGCACCTCATAGCATCACTTTGCACCGCATTAGACCCCATAGCACCGAATTGCACCTTTCGCAACCAGCTGGCACATGCAGCCCACTATGGCGGCCACGGATGAGCTGTCAGCGCCGCCCGACAAAGGCAGCAGGAAGCCCGATGCCCCACTGCGCCGCAAGTAGTCCCACAGCCAACACGCGGGGCCCAGAGCGATTTCCTCCTCGGGGCAGTGGTAGCGAATCTGGTGGCGTGTGGGCGGAGTAGCGCAGGAGGAGCGTAGCATGAGAGCATGCGAGGAGGGAGTGGGAAGAGAGGCACTCTGAAGCCAGTGGCTCCGCGTCGCCTCAAGTAGTCCCACAGCCAGCCAGCACACCAGCCGAGAGCTATCTCTTCTCCAGGGCTGTGATAACGGATCTGGGCATGATGGATGGAGAGCGGGTGGTGAGTAGTCTCGTGATAAGCAAGCTTTTTGCACTAGTGGAAGGTTGAAGGAGGTAAAAACACCGAGGGGATACGATGCAATCAATGAAGAGTGGGCCGATTGGAGGGAGAGCGGAAGGAGAACAGAAGGAGACTGGGAGGAGAGTGGAAAGATAGTGGGAGCAGGGTGGGAGGAGAGGAGAAGAAGGGCGGAAGGAGGGATACCTGAATGGGGTGCGAGGTGGCGAGGGTAAGGCTGGCGGATGAGGGATGACAGATGGAGATATCGGAGGGGATGCGCACGATGCCAGGGGAGGAGGAGGCAGAGGAAGAAAGGGTGGGGAAGGAGGCGGAGGGTGCTGGGGCGGACGCTGAGGCCTGCTCCCTCAGGCTGCTGATGGCGCCCCTGTAGCTCGCCACCTGGAGGGGCGCACAAGGGGAAGACGTGAGGGGCAGGAGAGACATGAGAGGCAGGAGAGGATGAGAGGATGAGAGGATGAGAGGATGAGAGGATGAGAGGATGAGAGGATGAGAGGATGAGAGGATAAAAGGATGAGAGGATGAGAGGAATGAGGGGAAAAGAGAAAGGCTGAGGCCTGCTCCCTCAGGATACTGATGGCGCCCCTGTAGCTCGCCACCTGGAGAGGGGCAAGGGGGAAGGATGGGGTGGTGCAGGGAACATGCAAGAATACACGGTGATCCACACAGAATGAACGCCGGCTTATTGAGCGGCGAATTCAACGTGGGTCTTGTGGGAGGGGGATGAGGAAGGAGAGGGGGCAGGAGAGGAGGAGGCGGGTGTGGTGGAGGGCGAAGCCCAAGGACCCTCTCCTAAACCACTGCGCCCTCCACCACACCCTCCTCCTCCCCTCCTGCCCCTTCTCCTTCCTCATCCCCTTCCGGAACCACTACCCCCTCCATCACATCCTCCTCCTCGCTTGCCCAATCTCCTTCCCATCCCCCTCCGGAACCACCTTCAGCCATAACATCCTCCTCCTCCCCTCTTGCCCAATCTCCTTCCTCATACACCTCTTCAACGATTTGTTCCTCCATCTCCTCCTCGTCCTCCCTTCCTGCCCCCACTCCTTCCTCATCCTCCAGTCCTCCACCAGCCCCCATAGCCCCAACGCTCCCTCCCAAACTCATCCGCCCGTGTTCCCCCTTGCCACCCCCTTCCTCCGTCCTTGCACTTCCGCCCCATATCGTCAACCCAGGCGTAAAAAATCGTCGGCATCACCACCTCCCTGCCCTCTGCTGCTCACCATCCAATCAACTCAAGTCGACGCAGCTGGTCAACTCAAGTCAACGCACCTGGTCAGCTCAAGTCAACGCACCTGGTCAACTCAAGTCAACGCACCTGGTCAGCTCAAGTCAGCGCACCTGGTCGAGGTCCACTGTAGCAGTTACCACCTCGACGTCAGCCAATGAGAACTGCGATCCCTGCGCCACCACCTGCCCGTTCACCACCACCATGGCACACCCGTCTGGTGAGAGGGGAGGGGAGGGAGGAGGGGAAGGGCGTGGGGAGGGGATGGAATGACAAGGGAATGGGAGAGGCGGAAAAGGGAAATATGTGTAACGTCGCTGCAGAATCAAACACCCTGCTGCCGACACAACACACAGCACAAGCCTCTCGTGTGCGCAGCGAAGCTTACCCAGGTCACAAGCACAGCACGCCACTCACCATAGTACAGCCTTCTTCCATCGCTCCCCTTCTGGTTAGCATACAAACAAATACACACCTTCCCCCCCCCCCCCCCCCCCCGCCTTGCTCGTGGCAGATTGCACGAGGCTCTTGTGTGCGCCGCCCATCGGGCCCCGGTCACAAACACAGCGCGCCCCTCACCATAGTGCAGCACTGGAGATGTTGAAATCTGACACACACAGGCACACAGCACACTCGCCGTGGTACAGCCTTACACCATCACATCCTTGTTGGTTGGTGTACCGATACACTCCCCCTGCTTTGCTAGTAGCAGATTGCACAAGCCCCACACGCGTGCCCAGCCCGCGCAGCTCCTGGTGGCTGCCACTGCCGTTACCGTTACCGTTACCGTTGGCAACAGGCCAGCCCACCCACTTTTCAAGCCACAAGCATGGCACACTCACCATAGTACAGCCGTCCGCCATCACACCCCTTCTGGTTGGCGTACAGGTAAACCCCCCCCGCCTTGCTCGTGGCAGACTGCACCAACCCCACGCGCGTGCCCAGCTTGCGCAGCTCGTGATGACTGCCGCTGCCGTTGCCCACCACCTCTGCCCCCGCCAGTGCCGCTCGGATGTGCGGTGCTAGAGGGGTGAATAGCTCCTCACATGTCTCACTCGCCAGGGTGCTGGGAGGGAGAGAAAAATGGGGAGACAAGTTGGGGGCAGATGACAAACACGGGGCGAGGAGGCAACAAAGTGAGTGCGCTTGCTGCCGTTGCCCACCACCTCTGCTCCTGCTAGTGCCGCTCGGATTGCGGAGCGAGAGGGGTGAACAGCTCCTCCCACGTCTCACTCGCCAGGGTGCCGCGGCGAACAGGGGTAACGGGGACAGAAGGGCATGAGCGTTCTCGTATTACATCACAAGGAGGGAACTGTGCGTGCGATCACCTCACCACCTCTGCCGGCATTGCAATACAAGGCACAGAGGTGGAGAGGTGAAGAGGCAGAGAGTTCCCGGGTACAAGATCACATCAGTTCACATCCACAGCAACTGCCACCAACCATCCCCACAAGTCATCACGTTTTCAGATATAACGTATCCAAATATCACTCACCCACAAATCACCCATTCAAATACCACCCATCCAGATACCACCCACCCATCCAGATCTGACCCATTCAGATATACCTATCAAGCAGATCCAGCACGCCATCCCCAATAGGCACCTCCCGCTGCCCCTCACATGCCGCGGTAACCACCGCTGGTAACCGCACGCTCTCCACCACTCCCAACCGCTTCCACGTGGCGAACCAGCGCGTTTCCCGGTAGTTTCCATCATTTGCCAGATCCATCTTGGGGCGCAGCAGCAGGATCCGACGGCTGTGGACGAACGCCCGGCAGTTGTAGTGCACCCCGCGGTGCTCCACTGGCAGCCCGATGTCGCACAGGATGCTGGCTGTAGCGCCGCTCGCAATGATGGCGGCTAGACACTCCCAGCTGGGGGGTTTGGGGTGGGGTGGAGCAGGGGGGTGAAGAGGGAGGGAAGGGAGGGGAGGGAAGGGATATTCGCCACTGACAGCCGGATGTCACAGAGAATGCTGACTGTAGTGCCGCTTGCGATCATGGCGGCTAGACACTCCCAGCTGGTGGCATGGGGGAAAACGGGAGTAGAGATTTCTAGTTGTAGCGCACGCCGCGGTGCTCCTCTGGCAGCCCGATGTCACAGAGGATGCCGGCTGTAGCGCCGCTCACGATAATCGCTGCAAGGCACTCCCAACTGCGGGGAAGTGAGAGGGTGTGGGGAGCGCGAGGGGGTGTGGAGAGAGTGAGGAGAGAGGGGGAGAGCGAAGGGAGGGGGGGAGAGTGAAGGGAGGGAAGGGATAGTTATTGTCCTCTGGAAGGCTTGTGTTACAGAGGATGCCGCCGGTAGCGCCGCTGGCGATGATGGCAGCTTGACAGACATTCCCAGCAGGCAGCATGGGAAGGGGGTGAGCTGCGAATTCAGGTTGTACGCACGCCATGTGCTGTCCACTGGCAGGCCAATATTGCACAGCATGCGGGCTGTAGCGCTGCTGGCGGTGATGGCGGCCGGATTCTCCCAGCTCATGGGACGGGGAGTACGGGGCGGCGGGAGATCGATGCTATGGCATCTACGAATTCAGTCACTGCGCCATTAGCGGACCCAGCAATAAGTTAAGAGCGGTTCGGCCAGGGTGGCACGGCTCAGCAGATGAAGGGAGGTCGATGACCGATGCCACGTGGCAGGGTGGGCAAGGATGCCGAGATTCTGTCAGGGGAATAGAGAGCGTGGCGTACGCGTGCTGGCACGTGTCGTGCTCGAGGAAATGGTCCTCGCAGCCGTAGCCTGTGATCTCCAGCTCGGGCCCGATTCGATATGACGCGCCTCGCGCCTTCGCCTCGCGAATGGACGCGATGATGCGATTCGTATTACCCTCGAAATCCATCGCCCATTGGTTCAGCGCGCACGTGGCGAGCGTCGCGAGCCTCATGGCGGCAAGGCGGCGTCGAAGATCGACTTCCTACTAACCTCGCTCTCACAATGCTTTCTCTACCGAGCTCCTACTGCCTGGCTCGCAGGTGCAGCGCCTCGCCCACAAACACATGCGTCTGCCGCTGAGATGCCAAGGAAAGCAGTCTTGGCTCAGTGTGGAACATTGTCCCCGCAACTGAAGTTCTCAGCAACATTCATGGTACAGTTTGCTTTTTCAATGCAGATACACAGTTGCCGGGCCCAATGTAGAACTATGAATTTGCCCAATCAGATCGTTTCCGTGCCCTTAATAGTGGAGACATGCCTGAAAGTGCTTGTATTGAGCGTGAATCCCTCGCCATTGTAAAAAGCTGTGTGATTGGTGTTCACGTAGCGATTCGTTCGATAATTGCACAGCGAGACGAATTACTCAAGGCGACTCGCTTGTGCGCTGCGGGCTTTGTTTGACGACGAGCTCGGCATGGAAAATGAAACTTCTGGGTGCAAAGTGCGATGCCCAAAACGAGGCATTTCCAGTGAGTACATCTCCGACTTCGCTAAGCAGCTCACGTTTGTACCCAGAGGTACTGATTATGGAATGGCTGCCCGAGGGGAAAAAAATATCCAGAATCATCCACACCCATCCCAACCCGTCCCAAGCCAAAGCCGCAGGCTAGCGATGTTGCGTTTCACCATACTCCTTTAAATCCTCACCTGTTCAAGATTCCACTCAGAACTAGCATGCATCTTTCACTTGTTTGGCTGCTTCATGCCATCAGTTTGTAACTAGGGCCTGTCATCTCCTCACCCAGAGTGAGCATCTTTTCGGCGGAAATAGTGAAAACATGGAAAAGATCGAGCTTGAGGACCCCGGCGACGGAAAAAAAAAGACTGGTGACATCACTCTGGTATCGCAACAAGAATCACTGAAAGCCGTGAATTCAGCTGCTAGCTCCCAGAGTGTTAACGACTGCCTGAAGACGGAGAACACGGAACACCCGGTTCCGAAGGAGACTGAAAATATGGTAAGAGATTTTGAAGGAAAGGTGAATAGCGTGGAGACATATGGGGACGGGGCCGCAGACAGCCTTTCCGATGGCGATGCGGTGGCCTCCGAACCAGCAAAGATGGAGGAAGATTCAGCAGCAGATGCGCGAGCTGCGGGCGAAACAAACAACGGCATAGGCCCCGAAAGTGCGGCGGCGGAGAATTCTTTCTCAACCAGTTCACAGGAGCCGGCCGCCTGTCAAGGAGCGACGCGGGAGGAGAGCCACGAGGAGAGCCTAGAAGCGAGCGAAGCTTCGGAGGCTTCATTCGATCGCAATGCGACAGACCCATCGGCTGGGAGTGGAGACCCTGAAGAGCGCGGAGAGGCTGACGGTGTTCAGGGTCCTGAAGCGACCTTGGGTGGACGCGAGGAAGTCAGCAGCAAGGCAGGCGAAGGAAGCAGCGGGGAGGCGGAGGAAGATGGCGTTGCGGCCGCTGAGGAAGCGTGCGACGTGATAAAGGGCGTGGAAGACGAGAGCGGCTCGAATAAGGATGATCATGCAGAGGGTGCAACAGCCGAGGATGTTGCGAATGTCAGCGTCGCAGCAGCTGAAGATGCGACGAATGTCAGCGTCGCAGCAGCTGAAGATGCGACGAATGTCAGCGTCTCAGCAGCTGAAGATGCGACGAATATCAGCGACGCAGCAGCTGAAGATGCGACGAATGTCAGCGTCGTAGCAGCCGAGGATGCGACGAATGTCTTCGTCGCAGCAGCTGAGGATGCGACGACTCTCCGCGACGCTGTGGTCGGGAGCGTGCGCGCTTCAGCGGTCGACGAGACCGACGCGGCGCCAATGGCGAACAGCGCGAGCTGCGGAGATGGCACGCTGGGCGGAGGCACGGCAAGCGCGCAAGAAGAAATTGCATCCGAAGCCGATGCGAGCGCAGACGTTGGAACCATGGCTGAAGCTTGCGATAGAACTGGGAGCAGCGTCGACCCAACAGACTCGGCTGCGAGCACGGGCGAAGCAAGCGTGGCGGATGGCAATGCGGACTCGGATGCAGGAGCAGGCGAAGGGGCCATGGACGAGGTTGATGAGGGGAACGCGACCTGCGAGGCCGCGGCAAACGCAGCACTTGAAACGGAGACCGCCACGGCCGGTGAGAACGAGAACGCGCGCGAAAGCGACATTGAGCCCGAGCTTGCTGACGGCCCTGCGTGCAAGGAGGCACAACCGCCGGAGGGCGTATCCGTGCATGCCGGTGAAGGAGTAGCTGTCGAGACAGAGGAGGGCGCGGGTAGTTCGTCGGGCGCAGAGGCGGGAAACGAAGCGCCGGCGGCGGTTACGGAGGAAGCGGCTGGAGAAACGGAGCCCGAAAGCTGCTCGCTAGACAAGAAGACCGACGTGGAAGAGGTGGACGCGAGTGGCGCAGCGCCTGAAGCGGCGCCAGTCGCAGCGGTCAAGGCGGTGAGCTCGGGCGAAGAGGGGGACGCTGAGGTGGTAGTGAGAGCGGAGAGCGATGGAGGAGTGACTTGCAGCGGCGGTGCGGAGGGTTTGGGGCATGAGCAGCACACGGATGAAAAGAGAGTGCTAGTATCGGGTGATGCGGAAATCGAGGTAGCTCATAGCGAGGATGTAGAGGGGGCAGAGGGAGGTGGGGCGATTGAGAAAGATGAGAAGAGCGACAAGGCCGAGACGAGTGAGGAGGCGGAGAAGAGTGAAGCGCACGAGAGTGAGGACCGTGACAATGTGGCAGATGAGACGGTGATCGAAGGACTGCAGCGCGACGAGGCAACGGTTGAGGTGACTGCTGAAGGCGCGGTGAGCGCGGACGACGTAAATGGCGCAGAGATCGGAGGGGACGCGTCGAATGGGGAAAACGGCGGAGCACAAGGGACGCAAGGGCCGGACAGCGAGGACGGGCCGGACAGCGAGGAAGGGCCAGGCGGAGGAAACACGGCTGCACAAGAGGCGGGAGAAGGTGCGGAGAAGGCGCACGAGGCGGAGAGGGTGGAAGCGATGGAAGGCGGGGAGGAGGCGGCGGAAGCGCCGGAGGAAGGGAGCGCGGCGAGCGAGGGGACGGTGGAGGAGCTGCGGGCTGTTGAGGCGGAGGTGGCGGGGGCGGCGGAGGAGGCGGAAGAGGAAAGCGCGGGCGAGGGGGCGGCGGAGGAGGCTGAACTTGAGGGAAGCGCGAGCGAGGGGTCGGTGGAGGAGCTGCGGCTTCTGGCGGACGTGCTGGCGCTGATGGACTCGGACGCCTCATCCAACGGCTCCCATCACTCCTCGTCCGCCTCCTCCGATGGCGATTCTGCATCCGACGGTCCAGCGCCTCTTGCTGACGTGGAAAAGCACGAGGTAAGCAGCTGGTCCCAAGTCGAAAAGATTTTACACCGAACTGAGCTTACGAATTCGTGAGCTGATATCACAACTCTGCGCCACCGCTCCTGTGTTCGCAGGTTGTTCAGCAGGCGGCAGCTGCCGAGGCGCAGGTGAATGCTCAGGTGGAAGCAGCAGTGAAGGCGCACGTGGCGGCGATTGAAGCGGAAGCCGCCGCCGCCATTGAGCGCCGCGTCGCCGCCACCTTGGAGCACCTGACCGCGGAGCTCGAAGCCAAGCTGGCCGGGCAGCTGGAAGAACGTTTAGCTGCCCGAATCGAGGAAAAGATCGCAGCGCGCATGGAAGAGCGGATGGCCGCTGACGTGGCAACGCAGGTTACGGTGCGGCTGGCGGAGATGGAGGCGGAGTGGAAGGAGCGCGCAGCAGGGGGAGCGGAGCACCCGCAGGCCCACGCGCAGGCGCAAGGCGGAGGAAAAGCTCCCGCACAGGGGCAGGCGGGGTGGCAGAAGTGGATGATGTGGGGCGCGCGGGAGGACGATTTGCGCAAGCAGGCGGAAGAGGAGCGGCGGAGGGAGATTGCGCGCGTGAAGGAGCAACTGGAGGAGCAGTGGGGCGCGGAGGTTCACAAGCTGCAGGCGCTCATGCAAGCGGAACGCGCCATCTCCGCGGAGCGCCTGCAGGCGCTGGAACGGCGGTGGCAGCGCGGGGAGGCGGAGCTGGCGGAAGGGATCCGCGCGGTGCAGGAGCTTGCGGTGTTGAAGGTTGCGGCGGTGGAGGAGCGGTGGGGCGCGAAGGAGGCGGGGATGCTGCAGGCGATGGCGGAAGAGATGCAGCGCCAGGTGGCGGAGCTCAAGGCGGAGCAGGCGGGGTGGGTGGGGCGCGTGGAAGACATGCGCTTCCGCGTATCCGCGGAGCTCAAGCAGGCGGAGGGGCGGCTGCACGCGGCGCAGGAGGCGTGGGCGGGGCGGCTGGCGGAGATGCAGGCGCAGGCGGACGCGGGGAGGATTGCGGACGCGGGGAGGCTGGCAGAGATTGAGCGGGAGTGGGAGGGGAAACTGGCGGAAGTGCGGAAACACGTGGAGGAGGAGAGGCGGAGGGGTGTAAAGCGGTGCAAAGTGGTGGAGGAAACGGTGGGGAAGAAGATAGAGGAGAGCCGGCGGGCGGCGGATGCGGAACTGGAGAAGGCGCTTCAGCGGGAGGCGGAAGCGCGCAAGGAGCAGGCGGAAGCCGCATCCGCGCGTGCCGCGGAGATCGCCGCGCAAATGGAGGAAGCCGCGCGGCAGGCGGAGGAGGAACGCAAGCGGAACCTGAAGCGCGCGGCGAAGATTCTCAAGGACTGCGCGGGGAAGACGGAGGCGGTGGAGCTGCGCGTGGCGGAGGCGGAGAAGCGCATCGACGCGGAGCGCAAGGCGCAGCGCGAGGCGGTTGCGCGGATCCACGCGCAGTTCGAGATGATGGAGGTGGCATGGGGGAAGCGCGTGGAGCAGACGAAGGCGGAGGTGTCGGTTATGCAGGAGGAGGCGCGCGCGCAGCGGCGGCGGGACGAGGAGGCGCTGGGCGCGGTGAAGGCGGAGTGGGCGGAGTGGGCGGGGGAGCTCCAGCGGCAGACGCAGGCGGCGCTGGGCGACGACGCGAAGAAACTGGAGCTGCTGGACGAGGTGCGGGTGGGGGGGGAGGAGAGGGTGGGGGAAGGGACTGGGGAGTGAGAGGGAGGGGGGAAAGGGCGAAGAGGGCGGTGAGGGTGGGGAGGTACATAGCAGTTGTTTCTTGCTTTCCCATTCTTCTGTTCCCACCTTCGCCTCACAACTGATGCGCATTCCCCCTTCCTCCCACCAATCTCCCACATACAATTCACTCACACCCTCCTTGTTCCTGTCCCCGTTTCCCCTCCCCTCTCACCCTGCCCCTGTCCCTGCTGCTGCTCTTCTCGTCCCTCTCCTACTTACCACTTACCCACACCCTCTTCCTCTTCCCCTCCCCCTTCCCCCTTCCCCCTTCCCCCTTACCCCTTCCTTTAACCCCTCCTCCCTCCCCAGGTGGTGCTACAGCTCTTCTCCGCCCACGTGCGCGCACAGCTCGCCTCACTGCGCCAGCGCCTTGACGACACCGCCCAGACACATGCAGACAAACTGCGCCACCTGCAGGACAACGTCGCCGCCCGCCTCGATGCCGCCCGCAAGCGGCTAGAAGACGAGCGGCGCGCGGAGGGGGAGCAGTTACAGCAGTGGGAGCGGCTGTGGGGGGTGGCTGCGGATAGCAAGTGGGGGGAGACGGTGGCCGGGCGGCACCGGAGGGAGGCAGAGCGGTTGAGAGAGGTGCAGGAGCAGTGGGCGGGGCGGGTGGCAGCGCTGCAGAAACGAGAGGAGGAGGAGCGACGGGGGGTTGCAGAACAGCTGAAGAAGCTTATCGAGAGGCTTGAGAAGGGGGTGGGGGAGGAAGGAGAGGTGGGGGATGGGGGGAGTGGGAATGGCGGAGGAGAGGGGGGAGAGGCGGGAGGGAGTGGGGGAGGGGGGCTGGCGGCGTGGAAGGAGATGGCTGGGCGGGAGGTGGAGAGGGTGGGGAGGGAGGTGGAGGGGAAGGGGCGGGCAGATGGGGAGAGGGTGAGTGCGATGGAGGGGCAGTGGCGAGTGCGGTGGGAGGAGGTGGCGGCGGCAGCAGAGGAGGGGAGGAAGCAGCAGCATGTGACGGTGCAGCAACTCATGGAGGTGAGCAGGGAGGGTTTGAAGGTATTTGCTGTGGTGGGTTGGGATGTGATGGAGTGCTGCACATAAGCTATGGGTTCTGGTGAGCTTATCAGCAAAGGGCATGTGACCCTGCAGCATCTCGTGGAGGTGAGAAGGGTAGTGTCTACAGTGGGTCCTTGGTGGTTTATAGGTATGGGCTGTGGTAGGATGCACTGGAGTGCTGCATAAGGGCTGTGGGTGCTGTGGTGAAAGCTGGCTCTGCACATGCTACCCTCTCCACTGTAATCCTCAACTTGCAGGCCGAGGCAGAGCGAGTGGTGGCAGATGAGGAGACTGGGTGTGTAGTGCTGCACGCTGCACTTCCTTCACCTTGCTTATGCACATCCACCCCCTCCACCCACTCCCTCCCACTCACAGGCTGAGGCGGAGCGTGTGGTGGCAGCGCGAGCAGCCCTGGACCGATACGGGCTGGGCATAGTGCAGCGCAGCACGCTGCGCTTCTCCCACCACCCCGACATAGCAGACACCGATGCCGCCCTGCTCCTGCAGGCGCTGCGCCGCTTCCGCCCGCACCTCCTCCCCACCATCACCGCTCTCTCCTTCAGCTGGGGCTCCCCCCCAGGGTGTAAGAACATCACAGGGGAGGCTCTGGAGCATGCTGCCTGCCTGCCTTCCCTCAAGGCCCTGGACCTCCGGTGCTGCGCTGGGCTCACGCCTGACGGGCTGCGCCACGTCAGCAAGCTGACTCAGCTGGAGCGGCTGGAGCTGTGTGATGCGCGTGGCGTGACGGATGCTGTGCTTGCACATGTGGCGGGGATCCCGGGGTTGCGGTATCTGGATCTTAGTGGGTGTGTGGGGGTGACGGATGCGGGCATGGTGCATGTGGCTCGCATGGTGGGGTTGAGGCAGCTCAGGATGACTGGATGCCCGCAGGTCACCAGTGTGGGGGTGAGCTTGCTGCCTGGCTGTGTGCAAGTCACGCGCTGAGTGACATGGGCGTTAGGCATGCACGCATGGTTTCTAAAATACAAGTTGTGGCCGTTTTTTCCCGTAGCTACTGTTGTAATGTCGAAACTTGGGTGTGGACTTCACTTCCTTCGGTTGTTCATCCCTGTGTATGCTTGCCTCTTTGGTACAAGATGTTGGTAGTTTCATTTCACAATATTATAATTTTTAAACACACATTGTGTTTTTTTTTAAATTGTGTATTGTGAAAGCGAAGCTGCTTGTACTGCACAATTGGCATCGTCGAAGCGCACTAAACGCCCTTCTCCAACTACAAAATCCGTGGGTTGGAGTTCATTTCCCTCCACCCACGCTTCTCGATTTTCAAACGGCTCACTCAACATTCCCAACCACCCACCCCAGAGTAAACCGCCTTGCTAATGCCACTTGGATAGGGTACATCTTAGCTAGTGTTATTCGATTGCACTAGCTTGTGTTCAACGTTCATGCAAATGTTGTAATAAGCCATTTGTAATGAGAACGTGAGAAAACTAAAATGAGAATGAATGAACTATGAATGAAGTGAGTACATATAGGAAACCCTAATTGGGTTGTACCCCCTATGGGATACCCCACTATAGTCTACACAACAGTATAAGCTATAATGTTCTGACACACCCCCATAGGCAAAGTGGGGGAGAACAGGGGGTCACAAGACCAGTCAAGCAAAACAAAGTAAAGCAAAACAAAGTAAAGCAAAACAAAGCTCAGGGTGGATCACAAAGTCACCACACATTCTGAGCACAAGTTCAACGCCACAAGGCCAGTTCACATGCAGGAGTACATATATATATATATATATAAGGCTAGACAAGCAAGAGCACGTATATATATATATATATATATGCAACAGTACAAGGAAGGTCAAGAGGTGAGCAGGTGAGGCAAGACAGGGACAAGACCCAGCTGAGTACAGAAGCGCTGATGATCACAAGGCGGAAGTGCCTTGGTGAAAACATCAGCAGTGTTGGCCTCAGAGGCCACGTACGCAAGCCGCAACTGACGACGCTGCTGTAGCTCACGAGCAAGGAAGTAGCGGAGAGCAATGTGCTTTGTTCTGTGCTCCAGTCGCTGCTCTCGACACAAGGCCAGCATGGCCTTGTTGTCTACGTACAGAACTGGAGGAGAACGAGGCGGCTCTCCAAGGTCGGTGAGCAGGTAGGTGAGCCAGCGAAGCTCCTGTGCAGCCATGGCCCCAGCGAAGATCTCAGCCTCACAACTGGAGCCGAGAACAGAAGACGAGCGAGTAGCCCGCCGCGAGACAGTGCCGGAACCAAGGCTGAATGTGTAACCCTGTGACGACCGGTGTGTAGCCTGATCGTCAGCCCAGGAAGCGTCTGCGTGCCCAGTGAGGACCACTGGACTGCGCCCTCCAAGCACTAGCCTCATGCCCGATGTGCTGCACAAGTAGCGCAACACCCTCTTCGCTGCAGCCATGTGCTCTGGTCGGTGTCTCCCAGGAGCAACATAGCGTGCGAGAATGCTAAGAGGGTATGCAAGGTCAGGTCGTGTGCAGGTCATCAGGTACATGAGGCAGCCAGCAAGCTCTGGATACGGGCCACTCGACTCTACGGACTCATCCGAAGGCAAAGCTGAGAGTGAGTGGCGAGTAGGCAGAGGAGTGGCCTGAGGCGAGGAGTACGTGAAGCCGAAGCGCTGAAGGACCTGCTGCACCATGTGTGACTGAGTCAGGGTAATGGTGCAATGGCTCTGTCCCGGGTGATCTGCAAGCCAAGGTAGCTGCGCAGTTCACCCAGGTCTGTGCACGTGTGTCTCTTCTGCAGCTCGGACTTCACGTAGGCGAGTCCAGCAGTGTCAGCGGTAGCAAAGACGAAGTCGTCGACCTACACGAGGATGTAGAAAGGCGGCAGAGAGGTGTCGGTGCGCAGAAACAGCGACGGGTCGGCAGTAGAAGGAGCAAACCCAAGAGCCGCAAGAGTAGTCCTCAGTGTGTTGTGCCACTCACGGGGCGCCTGGCGGAGACCGTAAACTGGACGCCGGAGGCTCCACTGGGTACCAGGAGGGAACGATCCAGTGAAGCCAGGTGGGCGACGCAGCCAGATTCTCATGCAGGCTGCCCTACAAGAAAGCTGTGCTGAAGTCGAGGGAGTGCAGCTCGTAGTCACGGTGAGCAGCAACGTGCAGTAGCACTCGAAGAGTGGTCATCTTCGGGGTGGGAGAGAAGGTCTGAAAGTTGTCAACTCCCTGACGCTGACTGAAGCCACGAGCCACGTACCGTGCCTTGAAGACAGGCGGAGCACCCGGCGGCCGTTTCACCCTGAAAATCCTCATGCCACTGACGATGTTCGCCCCAGGAGGGGGGACAGCGTCAACGTACGTGCTTGTGGACTTCCAAGACGCCATCTCTGCATCCATAGCTGCTTCCCACTGAGAAGAGTAGGGACCCTCTATCGCCTCCGTGTAAGAGCGCGGAGTCGGGATGTCAAGTGCATCGGGGTCTCCCTCAGGGGTAAGCAGTACGGACACGAGATGAGGTGAAGCAGCGGCCAAGCACTGGAACTCCTCCTGCCTGTCCTCAAGGACGTCCGTGCCAAGGGCACACTCACCTCCGACGGACGGAGGACAGACAGACTCAGACTCAGCGACAAGACTAGCAGCGTAGTCGAGGCGACAGCGCGCAGCAAAGTCGACGAGCTCAGCAACGAGGGCAGACACAGCAGTGGACTCGAAAGAAGGGTCAGTGACGACAGTAGCAAGGAGACGCGTGACAATAGGACTGACAGCACAAAGAGAGTCTGACTCCGGGTCGGCAAGAGTAGGAAGAGAGGACGCAGGAGGAGAAGGCAAAGGGGCACGCAGAGGAGCAGTGGACGGACGCAGAGACATCAGGTGTGTGCCAGGGACAGGAGGAGGACGCTGACGCGAACCGCGACCACTAGTGCGAGCAGCACGAACAGGCGACGCAGGACGAGACCCAGGCTCACAACGCTCAGCAAGACCTCCAGTAGGACCAGTGTAGGGAGAGGGAGCAGGTAGCGGGGAGGTAGGCTGTAACTGGAGCTGTAACGGGACAGGCTGTGGACACTCTGAAGAAGGAGGAGGACCTATAGAAGGTGGAAGACCAAGAACCTGCTGCAGGAGTGGAACGAAGTACGGTCGAGGCCGCGCGGCGACGCCAGACACAGCAGGGACAGCACCAGTACCCCCAGAAGGAGCACCCGCTCCAGCAGCACCTCTAGCAGCCCCAGAACCTCCAGCAGCACCAGTAGTACCCCCAGCAGGACCGCGGGCAGTAGGCTCAGCACCAACGCCCGCAGCAGCACCAGCTCCAGTCGAACCCGCAGGCCCACCAGCTCCAGTACACCCAGTACGAGCACCTCCGGGTCCCGCGGCACCAGTACCCTCAGCAGTCGAAGAACCTCCAGCTCCAGCAGCACGCCTCCAGCGCCGTGCAAACCACTCGCGCAGCTCCGGGGGAGAGAGTGGCTCCCGGCGAGACGAAGCCCCCGGAGGACCCCCAGGCGTAGCACCTCCAGGCTCAGCACCCTCAGTCGCAGCACCCCTAGGCTCATCACCCATAGGCTCAGTACCCTCAGTCGCAGCACCTCCAGGCTCACCACCCCCAGGCTCAGCACCCCCAGTTGCAGCACCCCCAGGCTCAGCACCCCCAGGCTCAGCACCCCAAGTCTCAGCACCCCCAGGCTCAGCACCCTCACCAGCACCAGAGTTACCAGTAACCTCGACAGGCTCGACTGCGTCTACCTGGGACACACCTGAAGGGGCAGGACCCTGGGGGGAGAGGGGGTCTACCCGGGGGGGACCTGGGACAAGGAAGAGCGGGGGTGGGGGGAGGGACGGAGTGCGGTAGGGGAAGAGGCGGTAGTAGGGGACCGACTCGTCAAACGTGACGTCCTGGGAGGACAGAACACGGCGAGAGGTGGGGTGGTAGAACTGCCACCCAGGCGAGTCAGGGGGAAACCCCACGAAGACGCAAGGAGCAGCACGAGGGGACAGCTTGTCCGCAGACAAGTCGCGAACAAACGCCCGAGATCCCCAGACCCGGAACGTCCACGCATCGCCAACCTTCCACGTCCACAGCAAAGCTGGGGAGGTCTCCGGCCTGTAGACCCTGGGGTGAAGGTTGATCTTATGCGCCGCGTACCTCACCGCAAACAGCCACAAAAAATGGGGGGCAGCCGCATGCATCATGGACGTACGAGCGACGTCCATGACCATGCCAATGCGGCGCTCAGCGATCCCATTTTGCTGCGGTGAGTCCGGAAGCGTGAAGGTCTGACGGATGCCTCGTGCGTGACAGTAGGCTCTCAGAAGGCCAAAGGAAAACTCTCCGCCTCTGTCCGAGTGCAGACGCAGAACAGGAAAGTCTGAGCCAAAGCTCTGCCTGAGCTGGAGACGAGCTGCGCGGATCCAGTCGATCTGTACCTCAGTGACATCACCCTTGCTGCGCAAGGGGAAGACTGTGGTGTAATGCGACTAGTCGTCAACAACGAGCAGGAAGTAGCGCTCGTGACCCTGTCCACGGACGCGGGCTAGGCCCCACACGTCCATGTGAAGCGTCTGCAACAGGGCCTCTGTAGGAGGAAACTGGGAGGAGTGAGGGGCAGCACGCTGGCGCCCCTCGACACAGGGGACACAGGCAGGGCCAGGGCCCTGAGGAAGGGGAGGGAGGGACCGGGGCAGACCAGACACAAGAAGACGGGAGGCCATGCCTCTGAGCCGAAGCAGAGAGGGGTGACCAAGGCGGTGGTGCCAGAGGAGAGTCTCGTGAGACAGGAGACGACACGAACAGGGGGCAGACTCAGGACCAGACCTGGACGCTGCAGCAAACACCTGACCCGACGCAGCTACCCTACCAGACTCAGCAACGGGAGGAGACGTAGTGGTCAGTGTGTACATGCTCGACCCCGGCTGACGGGTAAACGTAGCCAGGTGTCGGCCTCTGCTAGCCTCGGTGCAGTGCGTCACCCGCTGGCGCGCAGGAGTGAACTGGTGGACACCCG